TTGAAATCTGTGAAATGCATGCAGTTTGGTTGTTTAATCTGTTATAACGGTAGGAATGGATGAATTGCTACTTGATGAAATTCGAATTAGTTTTGCAACAGAACATTATACAGGATGACAAACGAATGGTGTCGAATTGGGCATTCACCTGAAACCAATCATCAGAACAGTGGCTAACCCTCTAAGTTCCCTCTTCATAATGAAACAAACAATATCAGGACTGTAAGAAAGTTGTGGTGGTGAAATCGGCTTCCTATTATTTTGTGGTTGACATGTGTTAAACAAGACATAAGTGTCACAGTTTTCTTCATAAATTCACTGAATAAAACTGTTTCCATAATTTTAAGAATACTATCAACAAGTACCACTCACATAATTCAATGATTCAGATAGATTCGACTGATTCGAATTTAATCTCAGTATTGTAAAGACTGTAGTATCGAGAAATGACGTTCTTTATGAAAAACCAAACAATATGGTTTGTTGAAAAAAAAATATGTTGAAAAATGCTACGAAACTAAATTTGCACTCACCTCATTCACTGCCTTCTCCATTAACAATGCAGTATTCATCGCATCCTCCAGACCACTGAATTCTGTCTTGGTCGGACACTTGATGTCACTGTACTGAACACGACCACCACGTTTGTTCTGATATTTGGCCAACTTCTCAGCATGTTCACGTTCCTCATGTGAAGCCTTCCGGAAGAATTCAGCTGCTTTCGGAAATGATACATCATCTCGATCGAAGTAAGTGAAGAATGCCATGTAATCATAGGCAGCTTGTAGTTCCATGTTGATTTGTTTATTGATGGCATCTTCACATTCCGTAGCGAAATTCTGTCTAGCTCTCGATTCGGTGAATGCGTGTTTGGAAGCTGTTCTGCTCATTGCGTTTGATTCGATGCGGAAGTGTTCAGTTAGATAATTTACCGGATGATATAGTGATATGCACCTCTCTCCTTTTATACTTGTGAATCAGACAGGCACGTGATGTTAAATGTGTAAATGTCGAGTGATAGGATACTTGAAAATGTTGGTTGTTTGCGATCGGGGTGAACAACAGACAACACAACTCTACTATCTGACTTTATGTAGAGATCAGTTTGTTACAATTTGATTGGTGCATGATAAATTAGAAAGGTTACTTGATTGTTTCACATATTTTCATAATTTGTGTGTTATTTTCCGATTGGTTTTCACGTGGCAGTTAATATTTCATAAGTTTGAATAGTTTTCGACTAAACTGTATCAGAATTTTTTGAACTAATTATTGTGGAAATGTATTTACTCAGATTGCATCACTTATTCTTAAGATATAGATTTTTAAATGATGATAATGAGAGTAGATTTCAAGTATCCTTTAGAGATGAACGTTTAAAGAGTATTGAAATATGCCTCAAGTACTAAACTGTTCATGACATTAAAGTTTAAACTATCTAGTTCCAAATATCTGTGATGTTTTAATGAAGTAGTTGTTCGCGATTTGTAAGACGGAACTCTATTGTTCGATAGTAGTAATATAATTTTGATTTTTTGTTACCTAGACTGTCAATGAATTCTCTATTCTCCTTCATACAAGTTGAAGAAACGCCGTTACGCCTCAAATCATATTCATGATCAAGGTAATGCATTGATCATTCAAGAAAATCACATAAATTCTCATTCGTGATCATCATGATCATCTTATTCGCAAGTCTTTGCATCACTCGTGTTGATCTGTATGTTGGTAACTGATATTAATGAGTAGTGCATTTTTCCTCCTTTCATAGTCATATACTTCCCTACTGTTTTCTTGTCTAGAGACAGTTTACTCCCAACTGACATAGTCAAGTTTCTAGGATCCTTCTGATTACAGTTCATCTCAATGTAGTCATTTTATCGAATCACGTTGAGACTTCCCTTGCCGATTATCATTTCTCTATCAGTATTCACGATGAATATTGGCTAATCCATGTTTGTTACTTACATGATTATCCTCTTGTTTTTCAAACTTTCTATGATCACTTTCATTGCAAGTGTTATGTTTTAGTAAAAACGTGTATGTTTTTGATTGTGCAGCTTTGAATGGAATTCGCAAGAGATAGAATTAATTATCTCACAATATTTATCAGTCTGTACTAAGCAAAATAAGCTCCGAGTCCAACTATATCAAGCCTCATTATTAACTCGATAGTCTTCAGTTGTTCAGTTCAGTGTCCATATTTCATTTCATGGTGGGTATCTTAAATAGTGGCCATATTTCTCGAGGAATCCTGAAATGTTGCATTCAGTTTTTAAATCGGTAGTAATCGTAGGACGATTTATCATTTTCCATATGCACTTGGTAGTGAAACATACGTTTGAGCAGATATTGAATGAAAGTGTTCTGTTATAGAGGTTAGCAGATCGTTCCCTATTACTATTTGAGTAATAGTAGTCTGACATTTCTGACTATCATTTTTGATTCAAGTTTATAGTTGATGTGTATGATTCGGCTCAAATTATTATTGATCTTGGTGAAACTTAGTTTTTCCATCTTCAATGATTAGTTGTTATGCAATGTGATAGCGTTCGTTTAAAGATGAATGTTTGTTGAATAAATTATTCACTGATATGTGAAATGTGTTTATGTGATCTAAGTAAGCAGTTCACATTCTTGAATAGCTTTATCTCAACTAGATGAACTACTTGCAATTTGTAAGTAGACGAAATATCAAACACATTTATAGGCTCATGATAACATTGAAATAGATTTATATAAATTGTAATCCAACAGCATCGATGTGAAAATATTGTTTCGATGAACTAGATAAACTACTTGCAATTTGTAAGTAGACGAAATATCAAACAAATTGATAATGTTGTTTCGATATTCAACAAGTCAATATTCGCGTTGAAGTGTTGATTTCGAAAAATTTAACAATCTAATGGCAAACATTTAATGGTTTCCAAGTGAAGTTCTGAATCAATTGATCTACTTTGTTTATACTGAACTCATTCATAGTGTTAGATTTTGAAGGAAAACTGAGTAGGACGATAGAACTATAAAGATTTAAACACCACATAACAGTTACGAAATCAGTGTGTACAGTCAAGCAATTGTATGTAGTCTCTTTTTCATCGACTTCTTAATGTGCTGCCTAATATTTTTCGGTTGGTGCTCCTCAGGATTCCCAATCACTTTTAAAGCCCGATGGAGGACGTAAGAGTGAAGAGAGAAACCGACTAAACTTCAGATCATCACTTGATGGTAGCCAAAATGAGACTGAATCTCACGGAGCACGGGACAAGTAGGCGATTAGTATCACAAAAGTTTAGTAATACAAAAAATCTCAACGAATTCAAGATAACCCATAGCGATAGGTTTCAAGCCATTCACGATCTACCAGGTGGAGAGAAAATCATGGAAAACAATCGGAAACGGATAAGAAACAATCACTTCAATGTGTCATGAAATTCTGGGCGGTAGACAGCACCACCACAAGGAATTTTTCACTGTCGATACACTGGATAAGACTGAAGAAAGCAAGATTATTGTGGCGGCAATCAATATCAGCCGAACAAGAGCGGAGAAAGCCGCGGCACATGCTGAATGCACAGAAACAAACGAGCAAGTGATGAGTAGCAGAACTGATAGGCGAAAATATGTTGAAGATCTAGGTATAATAACAGGAAACGATGAAAGAGAATGATACATCAGGCAACCATGTGATGCGACGAAACAACTAAAGAATATCGAGTTAATAATGAGGCTTGATATTAGTTGGACTCGGAGCTTATTTTGCTTAGTAGAGACTGATAAATATTGTGAGATAATTAATTCTATCTCCTGCGAATTCCATTCAAAGCTGCACAATCAAAAACATACACGTTTTTACTAAAACATAACACTTGCAATGAAAGTGATCATAGAAAGTTTGAAAAACAAGAGGATAATCATGTAATCATGTAAACATGGATTAGCCAATATTCATCGTGAATACTGATAGAGAAATGATAATCGGCAAGGGAAGTCTCAACGTGATTCGATAAAATGACTACATTGAGATGAACTGTAATCAGAAGGATCCTAGAAACTGGACTATGTCAGTTGGGAGTAAACTGTCTCTAGACAAGAAGACAGTAGGGAAGTATATGACTATGAAAGGAGGAAAAATGCACTACTCATTAATATCAGTTACCAACATACAGATCAACACGAGTGATGCAAAGACTTGCGAATAAGATGATCATGATGATCACGAATGAGAATTTATGTGATTTTCTTGAATGATCAATGCATTAACTTGATCATGAATATGATTTGAGGCGTAACGGCGTTTCTTCAACTTGTATGAAGGAGAATAGAGAATTCATTGACAGTCTAGGTAACAAAAAATCAAAATTATATTACTACTATCGAACAATAGAGTTCCGTCTTACAAATCGCGAACAACTACTTCATTAAAACATCACAGATATTTGGAACTAGATAGTTTAAACTTTAAAGTCATGGACAGTTTAGTACTTGAGGCATATTTCAATACTCTTTAAACGTTCACCTCTAAAGGATACTTGAAATCTACTCTCATTATCATCATTTAAAAATCTATATCTTAAGAATAAATGATGCAATCTGAGTAAATACATTTCCACAATAATTAGTTCAAAAAATTCTGATACAGTTTAGTCGAAAATTATTCAAACTTATGAAATATTAACTGCCACGTGAAAACCAATCGGAAAATAACACACAAATTATGAAAATATGTGAAACAATCAAGTAACCTTTCTAATTTATCATGCACCAATCAAATTGTAACAAACTGATCTCTACATAAAGTCAGATAGTAGAGTTGTGTTGTCTGTTGTTCACCCCGATCGCAAACAACCAACATTTTCAAGTATCCTATCACTCGACATTTACACATTTAACATCACGTGCCTGTCTGATTCACAAGTATAAAAGGAGAGAGGTGCATATCACTATATCATCCGGTAAATTATCTAACTGAACACTTCCGCATCGAATCAAACGCAATGAGCAGAACAGCTTCCAAACACGCATTCACCGAATCGAGAGCTAGACAGAATTTCGCTACGGAATGTGAAGATGCCATCAATAAACAAATCAACATGGAACTACAAGCTGCCTATGATTACATGGCATTCTTCACTTACTTCGATCGAGATGATGTATCATTTCCGAAAGCAGCTGAATTCTTCCGGAAGGCTTCACATGAGGAACGTGAACATGCTGAGAAGTTGGCCAAATATCAGAACAAACGTGGTGGTCGTGTTCAGTACAGTGACATCAAGTGTCCGACCAAGACAGAATTCAGTGGTCTGGAGGATGCGATGAATACTGCATTGTTAATGGAGAAGGCAGTGAATGAAGTGAGTTTGAAAACGGATTGCTGTTTAATAATATGCAGTCTATTGTTGATTTAAACGAAATTGTTTTCGCCCTTACCTCAATACTACTACTTCTATAGGATTTAAAATTACGATAATATTTCTGTGCTTATGTTGTATGGTAACTTGAACTGATTGATTACCTACGAATATCTATTTTGCTTATGATTGTGTGATTGACATAAGATTTAGGTTTTGTTTATATTTACTGAAAAATTCATTCCTTACTCGAAACCTTACTTTCAACAATAAACTCTCTGGCTGTTGAAATCCTTATCTACTCTTAGTATTAATTTTTTCGAAGATTTCATCAGAATATCATGCTTTATTAAGCAACCATTGTCCGATACCCTTACCGATACGTGTCTTACATTCAATGCAGCTGAACTCCAATGGTCATGGCTTCTTCATAAAAATGACAATTATCCCTCATACGTACACACTTGTCACAGAATCTTTTCAATTCATACAATTAACCATTTAACAATCACTTATTTATTTATACTTTTCTTCTAGTCATTATTAAAATTGCACGAAGTTGCTTCAAAGAACAATGATCCAGCATTGACAGATTTTATTGAAAGTGAATTTCTTCATGAACAAGAAGATGCAATAAAGCAGTTCGCTGATTATTTAACAGAGATACAACGAGTTGGTAAAGGACTTGGAGAATATCTATTCGATAAATTAACATTAACAGAATGAATTTAATTCTCTATTGAAACGATACTGTTGATCATCATAATTACATTTGTTATAGTGTTGTTTATTTTTTTGCTATTAAAAATTGTTTGTAAATATATATCAAACATACTCCAACAATATACGTATATATATATATATATATATAATATATTTCTGACAAACGTTGTCTTTTCACTACATCTATCAAGCTTTTAATTGATGTATGATAAAAGCATTTCTGTGAATGATTGATAAATTAATTGAAAACAACTAACTGAACACTTATTAATCCTGTGTAATATCACTTACCTAGATGTAAAACGTTAAAGTAGCCAACATACATGAAGTGCAGCTAAAATAAAGAAATATTAAGTTGTTGGTTCTTAAAATCGAGCAAAAATAGCATTGAACGTAGAAACTTCTTGAAAACCCAATTCCTTGTTGAATTTCATTACTTTTGACTAAAATATCACTTCCAATTGAAATAAAGACGATTTCACAGCTCAGATGACGATTAGAAGGAAGAAACATTTTCTCAACTATTTTATGGCTAATTTAAGTAACCAACACTCAGCAGTCTCGATTAGATATTGAACACAGAAAAGTTGAGTAGGTTGAGTAGGAGAGCCATATCATCTGCGAAGTCCTGATCGTGCAGTCGCATCTTGGCTGTCCATTGTATAGCTTGTTTCCCTACAGATTTTGATGTCTTCATAATGCAGTCCATCACGAGGAGAAAGAGAAAGCCTGAGAGTAATAGACTTTGACTAACACCGCTCTTCATTTGGAGCGAGTCTGTGAGTTGTCGTCCGTGCACCATTTTGTTGTTTAATCCATCATGATAATCACGTATGACGTTGACTATCTTCCCATGTACGTTATAATGTTGAAGAAACCTCCGTAGTGTTTTCCTGTCCACACTATCAAAAGCTTTCTTATAGTCAATGCAGTTGATGTACAGTGGTGACTTTCATTCAACTGATTGTTCCACACTGATCCGTGATGTTGTAATTTTTTCGGTACACGATTGATCGATAAACAATCCAGCCTGTTGATCTCGAAGTTTGGCGTCTACAAAGTCCTTCATTCTGTTAAACAACACCCTGTTGAAGACTTTCCCTGGTGCCGATAGTAGAGTGATGCCTCTGTAGTTCTTACAGTAATGTGGGAATATTGTGCCATCGATGACCAGTTTGTTGAAGGCACATAACTTTGCAAATCTCTCACCATTTTCGTTCCCTTCTCCAAGTCCATGTCGTCCCATGATGTCTTCATATCCAGTGTTGTCCATGCCACCTTTGGCATTTACGTCTCCTATTAGAATCATCAAATCCTTTGGTGAATATCTTTCGACGATCGACTGCAGCCTTTCGTAGAATTAAACTTTATCGTCGTCATTGTGGTCATTGGTAGGTGCATAGCATTGGATGACGTTAACTGTAGTCTTCTTTCTTTGTTTTGAGCAATGCCTTAATGATCCTGGATCCATGAGAGTCCCATCCTATTAGTGCCTTTTGTGCATGTTTAGACATCATCAGTGCAACTCCTTGTGTATGTGAAGCACTTTCCTTTTCATGGCCAGAGTATAACAGCATTTCCCCTGAAGCTAGTCTCAGTTGTCCTACCTGTGTCCAATGTGTTTCGCTGATTCCAAGCACCTCCATGTTGTGTCTTCTCATTTCTGCAGCAACTTGAAATAGTCTTCTAGTGTCCCACATTGTTCGAACGTTCCATGCATCTAAAAGAATGGTTGCTCTGGTTGTCAGAAGAGGCATCGGCCATGTGACTTCCGAGGGAACGCGGTTTTCATCACGCGACGTCATAATTCTTCTTCCAACTCCCAGGGCACAATTAAAATGATTTGATTTATTTTTTCTGGTTAGCGTTTTTTTGGCTAGTTAGTTTTTTGGTGTGATGGGATCGCCAACCCAACCCTCCTTTATCCGGGCTTGGCATCGGCACTAGCCTCGAAGCTTTTACAAGCGTCTAACAAAAACAATCTGTAACATATAAAATTAACCAATGAAATTGATCAATACCAAAGGCTAGAATCTGCAGCATGAATTAGTCATTGATTCTTTCAAAAGACATAGAAATGTTTCAATCACTCTATTGAAACAGTATCAGTATCCAAATAATTGAAATCCATGTTATCTGTAGTGTGTATACTTTTATGTTGAGCCCACAGGGATTGCTCAGCCTTTGGACGATGTAATCAAACTATTATTCGCCAGTTTTTATTCACTCGTCCTTTGACCTTGTCAATTATTCGCTCATATCTTGGCTGTTTTTATTCGACTGTGTGTGTGTTGCTTACTTCGCTCATCGCATGTCTAGCTTATTTTTTTGTCTGAACATGATGCTTAGTCATTGAGTTGGCTCCAATTTCTGAAATTTTTCGGACTCTCAAAATATGATCCTCAACTTACGGAATCATCGAACAAGGTGAAGCAAACTTGAACATAAACGAGACTCTATCGATTACTCTGTTTCTGCTTTGTCCAATATTATCTAAAGAACGACTAATGGGAAAGTCAAGCCTTTCCATATGAGTGAAGAAATAACGACAGATCAAACAGGTGCTCGCTTTGCTATGCTTTGCTTTTATTTGATTCGCTTCTACGCTGTTTGTTCTCGTGTCTGTCTGGATGAACGATTGCCTGACATAAGTTCATCTGACTGAATCTGTATTTGGATTTTTAATAACGTCGTTGCACAAACGAGGTTCGCCTAGCTATGATATACGGAAACTGAAGGGGATATTTATTTCATAGCATATTTAAATGTTCATAAATTTATTATTCAGATGGCGGGCCACTAAAATGGCGAGCCTTAATTCGAAAAAAATGCATGTTGTTGAACGATTTGTAGATCTCGAGCTTTGCCAACTAATTTATTGAATAATTTTGGCTGTGCTTACAATTGATTTTATTCTCGATTAAAACTTATTGATTTTTCGATTTTAGTTGATTCAAATAACAAATAAATGTGACTAATACCTTCAGTAGGTTATTTACATACCAAGTCATGATGAACTGGAGTATGACGGTACTTTGTTACAAGATCATGGAAAACTTTTATTATGCTCAAATTATTATTGTTCGACACAATGTGACATATAGTTGGTCGTTTAAGAAAACTTTTGAAGTTGATTGAATAGTAGTTGACAGGAACAGATAAATTTGGAATAATGATAAGATTTTTAAAAAATTCAAGACCCCATGGAAATATTTTTTCGGTTTTAACGAAGCTACTTAAAATCTGTAAATGTCAATTCATCTCATGATAGTACGTTTAATTCAGCTACCTGTATTTGGTGAACAGCTGATAACTCGATAATCCTTAATAGAAGCCTAAACCTCGTCACGTGGTTGACAGAAGAGCTTCATTCGATCATTTCCTCACGTGCATAAATTTTACCCCACTTTTTTTAAATCCTATCTGCCTTCATTAAATATCTGTCATCCATGCAGTAAAATAAAGCATAATAAATATTGTGTCATGTATATTCTTTTAAAAGTTGCGAATTTCGATAACTGAATAAATTTTTAGAATTATCATGCCCTCTTGAAAATAAAATGAGTAGAAATTATCTTCCACTGAAAGATAAATAGATTATATTACATACTTACTTACTTACTTACTTACGCCTGTTACCCCATAATGGAGCCTAGGCCGGCTACCAGTTTTCTCCAACCAACTCTGTCCTGGGCTTCCCTTTCCAGTTCTTTCCGGTACTCGTTCATTTTTCTCATTTCTTTCTCTATTTCTCGGCGTTATGTGTTCCTTGGCCTTCCTTTTTTCCTTTGATTAAATTACTGATTAAATTTGAGAGGTCATTTAAACACTAACAGACTTTATCATATTTCTTGAGTGCTATGTTCGTCACTAGGTACGCTTGAAGCTATTACGAGTTCACCTTAGTCGATAAACGCGAACGAGACAATTACCAGCAACCAGTTAGGCTACCTTAAATCCCAAACTGTAAAACAGAAGTCTTAGTAAGCGTAGAAGTATATTCTACAACATCCAGCAATCACAATACAATCAAGCACATAACTCTCGTTTATTTATACATCAGAGAAACGTCCATGGGACAGTTACGAAAATAGCACACTAAAATACACAGTAGCCAATCACAGCCATGGATTTTCCTGATGTGAAATGAAATCTCAAGGTCAACTGATCAGCGCATGCTCGCAAACGTGAAATCCAAAATAAGGCATTTATCAAGCGAGTTCTGGGGATCTAACATCTCCAACATTGAGACAACTGAATAAGCAGTCGTGTTTAACGAATATAACACTTTCAGTACATTTTTAATCTCATCATTTAGTCTTCATGCTTTTTTCAATGTGTTAAAATGCTAAAAATATAATTCAATTCAATATTTCCTATGGAAATCAAACTTATTTCATTTAAAAAAACTTGTGGGAAAGTATTCAATGTAGACTTCATTTGTAAATAGATTTTTGTTATTTTTCATATTTTCCATAATTTTATTATTTTTTGTAGAATCATTGTCATTAACTAAAAGAAAAAAAAGGTGTTAGATTGACAATGAATTCTTTTGTTCACTGTTTGCAAGTTGTACTGATCTTATTATAATCTTATTTTGATGCCATATCAACAGATCACACTACTAATAAACCTGTACATGCATTCACAGCTTGTGCAATGTAATCGATCATCCATCATTATCCTAAAATACATCCAATATGTTTGAACTAACAACTACTTGTTATAATTAATTGTAAAATAAAGTTTAAACATGCAATCATTGATTCTTTGTAAATGACCTATGTATAATTTATTTATATCTGCTTTGTATATGATTATTTCGATTTTTTTCTTTTGAATAAAATACTATTACTACTTAAATGTTGTAATTCTGGTTCAGATACAAGCTATAAACTCTGATTTGCATCAAGTTGTTTAGATTAATCATGTACTTCTTAATTGAAGTTGAAATAAATTTCCATGTAGTGGATATTACCGTTAATATTAGGAAAAGATACAAACTGTTAGAAATATTTCTTCTCAGCTAGGTTCAATTCTACTTTCTGCTCGATTTTAAGAACCAAGAAATTTATATTTCTTTATTTTATCTGCACTTCAAGTATATTGGCTACTTTAACGTTTTGGCGGGAGTAACTATCACTTTCTTAAGGTAGCCAAATGCCCCGTCATCTAATTGAATGGGTATATTAGGTGACGCGCATAAATGGAGCATTTTGGCAGTTGTGGTGACGGCTACCTCTTCGTGGTCCTACCAGGCAACGTGGTGTTGTTTACAGCGCTGCGGCTAAAAGCCGTTCCGAAAGCTTAGGATACCGTGCCTAGTATGGTCCAAGAAAAATGGTACGTGTTCATGGTCGCAAGGCTGTGGATGCGGTTAGCCACTCTGTGGGATTAGGACTGAGTGTCTCTAAGTCTGAATCCCGTCCATCGAGCGTAGGTAAACTTCGATAATGGTTTGAGGAATTGTCCTCTATCATTCCGTAGTAGCAGATACCTTGGAAGGAATGTAGCTTTCCAGGATGATTGAAGGCGGCCCTAGACGTTCTGTTTGGGGAAGCAGCCGTAGACATCCTGGATTATTGACCCCGACCCTATGTGGTTGTCCCTTACACGATGTAGTGTGTGAACTGGTGTCGAAGCCCCTTAAATAATCGTCTTCAGTAGGGTTCCGGGGTTCCAGTGCTGAACTGGTACTGGAGACCAATGATATCTGCCCACTTACGTAGTGGGATGAACCCTGTTTGGCTGAGCGCTTGCGCTTGGTCGAGATCATGACATCTTCCTCATGGAAAGGTGTACGTGCCGGCTGACCTTGTGAGACAAACTCGACCTTTAGCTTCATGTTGGGCCTTGGGGACTCCGATCGATCGTATAAGCGCAAGGCAGTTGGAGGCCAGACGGTTGGAATGGCTGCTGGCTAGTGAACTGCTTGGGTGGCTTGGCAATCCGCTTCGGGGTGCCAGGTCCAGATGGGTAAGTCCGCCTTGCAGCACTTGCCCATTGGGGTTTGTGGGTAGTGGACTGGTTGGAAGGAACTTTTAGATTCAAAAGTGCCCGAGCTGGGGCCACTGCACCTGTGCGTGCTTTTTGGACGTCCACCTGTCTGCAGACCAAACTGGACAACATGTATGTTCCCGATTGGAGCAGGGGTGATTACTGTTGTCTACAGTGAGAATCATTGCGCTGCCTTAAAAGCAGCAATGTGCATGTGCAGCGGGCTTGATGGTTAGCCATGGATTAGCGTTTTACATCTAGGTAAGTGATATTACACAGGATTAATAAGTGTTCAGTTAGTTGTTTTCAATTAATTTATCAATCATTCACAGAAATGCTTTTATCATACATCAATTAAAAGCTTGATAGATGTAGTGAAAAGACAACGTTTGTCAGAAATATATTATATATATATATATATATACGTATATTGTTGGAGTATGTTTGATATATATTTACAAACAATTTTTAATAGCAAAAAAATAAACAACACTATAACAAATGTAATTATGATGATCAACAGTATCGTTTCAATAGAGAATTAAATTCATTCTGTTAATGTTAATTTATCGAATAGATATTCTCCAAGTCCTTTACCAACTCGTTGTATCTCTGTTAAATAATCAGCGAACTGCTTTATTGCATCTTCTTGTTCATGAAGAAATTCACTTTCAATAAAATCTGTCAATGCTGGATCATTGTTCTTTGAAGCAACTTCGTGCAATTTTAATAATGACTAGAAGAAAAGTATAAATAAATAAGTGATTGTTAAATGGTTAATTGTATGAACTGAAAAGATTCTGTGACAAGTGTGTACGTATGAGGGATAATTGTCATTTTTATGAAGAAGCCATGACGATTGGAGTTCAAATGCATTGAATGTAAGACACGTATCGGTAGGGGTATCGGACAATGGTTGCTTAATAAAGCATGATATTCTGATGAAATCTTCGAAAAAATTAATACTAAAATTAGATTAAGATTTCAACAGCCAGAGAGTTTATTGTTGAAAGTAAGGTTTCGAGTTAGGAATACATTTTTCAGTAAATATAAACAAAACCTAAATCTTATGTCAATCACACAATCATAAGCAAAATAGATATTCGTAGCTAATCAATCAGTTCAAGTTACCATACAACATAAGCACCGAAATATTATCGTTATTTCAAATCCCATAGAAGTAGTAGTAGTGATGTTAGGGCGAAAACAATTTCGTTTAAATCAACACTAGACTGCATATTATTAAAAAGCAATCAGTTTTCAAACTCACATCATTCACTGCCTTCTCCATTAACAATGCAGTATTCATCGCATCCTCCAGACCACTGAATTCTGTCTTGGTCGGACACTTGATGTCACTGTACTGAACACGACCACCACGTTTGTTCTGATATTTGGCCAACTTCTCAGCATGTTCACGTTCCTCATGTGAAGCCTTCCGGAAGAATTCAGCTGCTTTCGGAAATGACACATCATCTCGATCGAAGTAAGTGAAGAATGCCATGTAATCATAGGCAGCTTGTAGTTCCATGTTGATTTGTTTATTGATGGCATCTTCACATTCCGTAGCGAAATTCTGTCTAGCTCTCGATTCGGTGAATGCGTGTTTGGAAGCTGTTCTGCTCATTGCGTTTGATTCGATGCGGAAGTGTTCAGTTAGATAATTTACCGGATGATATAGTGATATGCACCTCTCTCCTTTTATACTTGTGAATCAGACAGGCACGTGATGTTAAATGTGTAAATGTCGAGTGATAGGATACTTGAAAATGTTGGTTGTTTGCGATCGGGGTGAACAACAGACAACACAACTCTACTATCTGACTTTATGTAGAGATCAGTTTGTTACAATTTGATTGGTGCATGATAAATTAGAAAGGTTATTTGATTGTTTCACATATTTTCATAATTTGTGTGTTATTTTCCGATTGGTTTTCACGTGGCAGTTAATATTTCATAAGTTTGAATAGTTTTCGACTAAACTGTATCAGAATTTTTTGAACTAATTATTGTGGAAATGTATTTACTCAGATTGCATCATTTATTCTTAAGATATAGATTTTTAAATAATGATAATGAGAGTAGATTTCAAGTATCCTTTAGAGGTGAACGTTTAAAGAGTATTGAAATATGCCTCAAGTACTAAACTGTCCATGACTTTAAAGTTTAAACTATCTGGTTCCAAATATCTGTGATGTTTTAATGAAGTAGTTGTTCGCGATTTGTAAGACGGAACTCTATTGTTCGATAGTAGTAATATAATTTTGATTTTTTGTTACCTAGACTGTCAATGAATTCTCTATTCTCCTTCATACAAGTTGAAGAAACGCCTTTACGCCTCAAATCATATTCATGATCAAGGTAATGCATTGATCATTCAAGAAAATCACATAAATTCTCATTCGTGATCATCATGATCATCTTATTCGCAAGTCTTTGCATCACTCGTGTTGATCTGTATGTTGGTAACTGATATTAATGAGTAGTGCATTTTTCCTCCTTTCATAGTCATATACTTCCCTACTGTTTTCTTGTCTAGAGACAGTTTACTCCCAACTGACATAGTCCAGTTTCTAGGATCCTTCTGATTACAGTTCATCTCAATGTAGTCATTTTATCGAATCACGTTGAGACTTCCCTTACCGATTATCATTTGTTTATCAATCTTCAGTGTATCTCCAGGTTTATCATGCATAATTCCTTTACTAGCTTTCAGTTTTACAGGTCAATGTCCATCTTTTATTTCACGGTGAGTATCTCAACTGGTGGCCATATTTCTGGAGGAATCCTGAAATGTTGCATTCAGTTTTTAAATCGGTAGTAATCGTAGGACGTTTTAATTATTTCCATATGCATATGGTAGTGAAACATACGTTTGAGCAGATATTGAATGAAAGTGTTCTGTTAGAGAGGTTAGCAGATCGTTCCCTATTACTATTTGAGTAATAGTAGTCTGACATTTCTGACTATCATTTTTGATTCAAGTTTATAGTTGATGTGTATGATTCGGCTCAAATTATTATTGATCTTGGTGAAACTTAGTTTTTCCATCCTCAATGATTAGTTGTTATGCAATGTGATAGCGTTCGTTTAAAGATGAATGTTTGTTGATTAGATTATTCACTGATATGTGAAATGTGTTTAAGTGATCTAAGTAAGCAATTCACATTCTTGAATAGCTTTATCCCAACTAGATGAACTATTTGCAATTTGTAAGTAGACGAAATATCAAACACATTTATAGGCTCATGATAACATTGAAATAGATTTATATAAATTGTAATCCAACAGCATCGATGTGAAAATATTGTTTCGATATTCAACAAGTCAATATTCGCGTTGAAGTGTTGATTTCGAAAAATTTAACAATCTAATGGCAAACATTTAATGGTTTCCAAGTGAAGTTCTGAATCAATTGATTTTCTTTGGTTATGCTGAACTCATTCATAGTGTTAGAATTTGAAGGATAATTGAGTAGGACGATAGAACTATAAAGATTTAAACACCACATAACACTTACGAAATCAGTGTGTACAGTCAAGCAATTGTATGTAGTCTCTTTTTCATCGACTTCTTAATGTGCTGCCTAATATTTTTCGGTTGGTTCTCCTCCGGATTCCCAATCACTTTTAAAGCCCGATTGAGGACGTAAGAGTGAAGAGAGAAACCGACTAAACTTCAGATCATCACTTGATGGTAGCCAAAATGAGACTGAATCTCACGGAGCACGGGACAAGTAGGCGATTAGTATCACAAAAGTTTAGTAATACAAAAAATCTCAACGAATTCAAGATAACCCATAGCGATAGGTTTCAAGCCATTCACGATCTATTAAGTAGAGAGAAAATCATGGAGAACAATCGGAAACGGATCAAAGAGGCAATCACTTCAATGTGTCATGAAATTCTGGGCGCCAGACAGCACCATCACAAGGAATTTTTCACTGTCGATACACTGGATAAGATTGAAGAAAGCAAGAATAATGTGGCTGCAATCAATATCAGCCGAACAAGAGCAGAGAAAGCCGCGGCACATGCTGAATGCACAGAAACAAACGAGCAAGTGATGAGCAGCAGACCAGATAAGCGAAAATTTGTTGATTATTCAGGTATAATAACAGAAAAGTATGCAAGAGAATGATACTTTTAGCAACTATGTGATCCAACGAAATAGTGTAGATGTTCGAGTAGAGAACTTTCAACACATTTACAAACCAACTACGTTCAGGTCTCAAGAGCTATAATGATAATGTTGGCAGGATAGTCCAGATGAAATAAGCACATTTACTGACGATTTAGTGGTATCGTAAGAATACAGAAATCGTACCGAAGAAAATGCGCTAAAGGTACAGAACAGCAGGAGCAAGATGATGACGGCGAAGAAGGAAATTGTGGTACAAAAGTACGAATAAACAAAATGTTTGTTTAAACGTTCGCTAGAACAGTTGGTCGCAATGATGAATGTTGCTGTTTACTAATCGTGATTTCTCCATAAAAGTGAAATCACTACAGAAGCACACTGAGAATTATCATACATCAGAATGAAAAGTGGAAAGTAAGGAAGGCAAATAATTCAGCAACATTCGAAAACAACGAAAAAGTTAGGTAGAGCACTTTGAAGAACTCTTGAATTGACCAATCTCACTACATCCACCTAACATTGCAGCTGCACCCACTAATAAATGAAGAGATTATTATGGCCATCATATAAATCAAGACAATATACAAGCTGAGGCACTGACAGCAAACATAATAGTAACTGCAATGGTTCTCCACATTCCCTTCAGAAAGATTTGGGAGGAAGATTAAGTACCAACAATCTTGAAAGAAGGACACATGATCAAGATGTGAAAAAAAGAGATTTCAGAAACTGTGAGGAATATAAATATATATCGGTTTTCTCTTAATACCAGGAAATGCCTTCAACAGAGTGTGGATGAACAAATGAAAGATTCGGTAGACGCCCAACTTCGAACACAACAGTTTGGATTCCGTGAAATCTCTTCTCTTACTCCTAGTGGTCACGTGGATTGTTAAAATTTCAATACCTCAGAAGAAGCACGGAATACAGCAAACGGCTCGGAAGCAACTGGATGACTTGTACTCAGCAGATTATCTATATGTTCTATCAAATTACGCAACAACAAATGCGGGAAAAGATGACTATTGGAGCAGAAGCCTCCACTACATTACATATGAAAAAAGCAAGAAACTGAGGTATGACAAAGCATGCATCGTCCAAATCACATATGATGGAGATGCACTGCAAGATATGGAAACATTTACACACCATCTGGACAGAACTGGATTTCGGCAAAGTGGATCTGTGGCGGACGTTTCGACTCAGATAAGCAAAGCGAATGTAGCATTTCTGCAACTGGAAAAACGATAGAAAGACAATGAGACTATTACTCCACCGAAAAGACAGCATTTTTTATCCCAATTTAAAACGTCATTGTTGATTGTTGATAGCTTCAATATTAATCATGAAGATTGCTAAAGAAATGATAATCTGCAAGGGAAGTCTCAAAGTGATACGATAAAATGACTACATTGAGATGAACTAAAATCAGAAGGATCCTGGAAACTGGACTATGTCAGTTGGGGGGAAACTGTCTCCAGACAAGAAAACAGTAGCGAAGTATATGACAATGAAAGGAGGAAAAATTCACTACTCATTAATATCAGTTACCAACATAGAGATCAACATGAGTGAGATGATCATGATCATCACGAATGAGAATTTATGTAATTTTCTTGAATGATCAATGCATTAACTTGATCATGAATATGATTTCAGGCGTAACGGCGTTTCTTCAACTTGTATGAAGGAGAATAGAGAATTAATTGAAAGTCTAGGTAACAAACAATCAAAATTATACCACTTCTATCGAACAATACAGTTCCGTCTTACAAATCACAATCAACTATTTCATGAAAACATCACAGCTGTTTGCAACTAGATAGTTGAAACTTTAACGGCATGTACAGTCTAATATTTGAGGCATATTTCGATACTCTCTCTAAACGTTCACCTCTAAAGGATACTTGAAATCTACACTCATTATCATCATTTAAAAATCTGTATCTTAAGAATAAGTGATGCAATCCCAGTAAATACATTTCCACATTAATTAGCTCATAAAAATCTGATACAGTTTAATCGAAAATTATTCAAACTTATGACACATTAACTGCCATGTGAAAACCAATCGGAAAATAACACACAAATTATGAAAACATGTGAAACAATCAGGTAACCTTTCAAATTTATCATGCACCAATCAAATTATGACACAAACTGATCTCTACATCAAGTCAGATAGTAGAGTTGTGTTGACTGTTGCTCACTCCAATCGCAAGCAACCAACATTTTCACGTATCCTATCACTGGACATTCACACATTTAACATCACGTGCCTGTCTGATTCATTAGTATAAAAGGAGAGAGGTGCATATCACTACATCATACGGTCAATTATCTAACTCAACATTTCCGCATCCAATCAGACGCAATGAGCAGAGGAGCTTCCAAATATGCATGCACCGAATCGAGAGCTAGACAGAATTTCGCTACGGAATGTGAAGATGCCATCAATAAACAAATCAACATGGAACTACAAGCTGCCTATGATTACATGGCATTCTTCACCTACTTCGATCGAGATGATGTGTTATTCCCGAAAGCAGCTGAATTCTTCCGAAAGGCTTCACGTGAGAAACGTGAACATGCTGAGAAGTTGGCGAAATATCAGAACAAACGTGGTGGTCGTGTTCAGTACAGTGACATCAAGTGTCCCACCAAGACAGAACTCAGTGGTTTGGAGGATGCGATGAATACTGCATTGTCAATGGAGAAGGCAGTGAATGAGGTGAGTGCAACTTCAGTTCACTAGTATTTTCTAACATATTTTATTCAACTACCCGTAGAGTTTGGTATTTCATAAACAACCTCATCTCTCAGTAGTACAGAATTTACAGTACTGAGATTATATTCAAATCAGTCGAATCAATCTGAAGCATTGAATTATGTGAGTGGTACTTGGTGATAGTATTCTCACAAGTATGGAAATAGTTTTATTGAGTGAATTTGTGAAGAATACTGTGACGTTAATGGCTTGTGTAACACATATCAATCACAAAATAATAGGAAGCCGATTTCACCACCACAACTTTCTTACAGCCCTGATGTTGTTTGTTTCATTGTGAAGACGGAACTTATGAGTAGCCAGTGTTCTGATAATTGATTCCAGGTGAATGCCCAATTCGACAGCATTTGTGTGTCATGCTGTATAATGTTCTATTGTCAAACAAATTCGAATTCCATCAAGCAACAAACAGTTCATCCATTTCTACCGTTCTAACAGATTAAACAACAAAACTGAATGCGTTTCACAGATTTCAAAACATTTATTGAAAGACATTCCTGTGATATATCCATCCACTCACTGCAAAAGCTCATCGATTTGTTTATTTACTTCTCTTATAGTCACTGTTGAAACTACATGAAGTAGCTGCGAAGAACAATGATCCGGCGTTAACCGATTTGATTGAGAGTGAGTATCTGCATGAACAACATGATGCAATCAAACAATTTGCTGACTACGTGACAAAGACGGATCGAGTTGGAAGTGGACTTGGAGAGTATTTATTCGACAAGATGACACTGAAAGAATGAGTGCTACTTCACTCGAACTGTTTATTCACTCTAATGTCCTTTACTTCATTATTTTTGTCTTTTTTTCTTACAAATAAATGAGTTTTCCATGTAGATGCTTTTCTCTTCTCATTGTCTTTTAAGGTTTGTGTAACTAAGTCAAATTCGACAATCGATCTGTTTTAGTGAAAGAATGTGCGAATATTCTTTATCTGCATTGAATACGACGAGTATTTTGCATAACATGCATAAGTATAAATGATTTATAGAATTTCTGTTTGTTGAGAGTCTAACTGTTTCTCACCCATGAAACTGATTGGAAATGTCAATTCAGCATAATACACAGCAAACATTCATTATATCATTTCCATAATTTACAAAAGTTTTAGTTGAAAAGTGTCCAATGCTTTCCTATTGGAATATATTCATACCATTTCGTCTTTAATCTTAACACTCTATGTAGGTTGATATAATACGGATCGAGACCACATAACAAGAATGTGCTCTTTCTGAATGAGACGATAAAGTAGCACAACACTCATAAGCACGTCATTTGAATATTTCTACATTATAAAATAAATATATATCAAAATATTTTTTTCGCACTGACGAGTTAATTCTTTCATTTTGAACAGAAATCGTCATTGTGAAGTGTGTTGATAGGATTTTCGGTGTGACTTTGTCATGAGAAAAATTCAGTCTTCTTCTTAATGCAGTTAACCACAAGAAGAAGAAAATAGTGAATGTTAGCTACCCTAACTAACGACGACCTTCTCTTGAAATGAGTCCACCTAGGGCACATCGAAATTTCCGGTGGGTGTCAAGTTCGGAGAAAGGATTTCAATTGGTCAGGGAGCATGACGATTTCTGTTCAAAATGAAAGAATTAACTTATCAGTGAGAAAACAATAGAAAATCATTCAAGGGTGACAAAGTATTGTCGATTCTCAAATCAATTCATGAGATCAACAACCACGTTCCCTGATTAAGGCTTTCTAGCAGAAAATTCAGATATTTTGATTACGACTGTGCACCATTACACCTTTCACACACCAACTTTAGTCGATTTGATTAACTTTCAATTTTATGTGCCTATATGATATATATATATATATATGCTAATGTGTACTAGTGAAATCATTTCATTTAGAATTAACGTTCTGTCGGTCAAGTAAACGTTTAGTCTGTTCAACTGTTCTATCATGTTCCTGAAGTTGACACTATTTTTAATCTGTGTGGTCATGTTACATGATCATGTTTATGCTGATGCAGGTGACTCTGCTGTCCCTACTGATGAGAAGACGGTGGACGTGAAAAGTGGAAAACCAGTGAAGAGTGTGAACGAAGAAGTTGATCAGGATAATGATGTTGGTGAGGATGACAATGAAGTTGTCAAGGACAACCAAAAGGGTGGATCAATTGGAGAAAAGAATGAAGAGGGAAAGAAGAATGTGAAGGTGGTGGATGGGCGAAGTGAAAATGATGTGAACAGTACGAAAAAAAAGTTGTTGAGATGAGTGTTGTGTGACGAGTTACGGGTGCTTTTAGGTTCTGTTGTTTTTCTACACCGTTTCAACTATTGATGGCTGAAGCCAAATGTCTATACTGCAGTCAATAAATATATGTATGTTCTTACTTACATTGTCTTATCTTTTTAATCTGGATTGTCTTAATGAAAGGTTTGTTCCACTGTATTTTTTAGTTACAGTTAAAGTTTTGTCTGGATACTATTTCCAGGTTCAGAATTGCAATCGTTTTGGTTGTCTAAACTTATTTGATAGACTGGTGTTTTGTTTGATACCCACTCATTGTTTTGTAGTTATATTCACGTTTTAAGTTTTTTGCATCTTGTGTTGCAATTTTCACCAAAACCCTTTTTGTTGAGTTTTTGTCGTAGTTTATTAGTTTTGATTTCGTTACTTGTATTTGAGAAGTCAAGTTCAAACGAAGCGCTATTTCCAACTATTCATATACACCGATTACACTCAGCATATTCATTTCCATTCCTAAAACTTGAGTTAGTTATCTTCCATAACAGCGTACTTACTGAGAAATGTTTTATGTTCACATTCTCTATATTTATGTCATTCGTTTACATTTTAATGTCTTTCATTTTATGATCGACACAGCTTCAGTAGGTTACATAGTTAATCGTACGGTGTTGTGTGTATATCTATATATCTGTTTCGTAAATTGCATTCTTTTCTCAGGGAATTTGATCTCAATAGATGTCGTAGTTACCTAACGAATTGATATTTGAAATGTGTATATTAAGTGATTGTTCAAGCTCTGCCTTAACTGAAGTTGAAGTGGCGTTTTATTCACCAGATTTTATTTCACTTAATTTTTTGTGTCTAAAATCTTGCATAAGGTTTCGAGCCAGGATTATAATTTAGCTCGTGAGATTTACAGTCGTATTTCGTTTTTTCAAATAATTCGACAAGTCATACACGATATGCTTGGCGACACATTGTTATTGTTGTATTTCACATCATTGGGCTATTAGTTTTCCCGTCAAACAGTTAGCTTTCTTCCAAATATCATGTTGTCATTTTGTGGTATTTTGACTAGTCACTGATATTTTTTGTACGTAATTCTTTCGCTGATTGGATTTCCAAATACAACACTCTCTGTTGTGCACATGTAATTTTCTTTAATTCCAATACTGGCATTTACAACAGTCCTAACTATTTTGATTCCCGTTACTTTCCATCATCTAACTCGCATCTTACCTCTTGAATTTCATGATTTTACTTTTGATACAGACAGTATGCAGTTTCGTTATTTGATTCAAAAATATGAAATCTTTAGATACAAAAGTTGCTATGCTATTTACTGGTATTTTCAGTGTTGGGGATAATCAGACGCTAACTGTAAGTTTTTGGATGTGGAGAAATGTTAGATGAAGATGATAATTATTTGTAAACATCTCGTGGGCTTCACTAAGTGAAAAAAGCATCGTCAATACCACGTTTAAAAAATTTGATAAGGCCTAAAGTAGAGCTATCAATTTTAGCTTTCAAAGACGATTCTGATTCTTAGCTCATTCCTTATCTGAAATTCTAATTGTGAAATCGTGATTGTTGATAATAAGTGATAGAAGTATGCATTAATGCATGACACGGCAACCGAACACTGCTGCTGAATTGAATTAAGTCTATGCAGTGATTGCAACATGTATCCTACTGAAAATTTAATAACATTACCTCTTCGAGTATATAGTTTACAATTTCCATTATGTGGTCTCATTATTAATTTTTTGCAGTCAGTGAACTATATGAGTTCATCAATTGATGTCAAACAATCGTCCACCATAGTTGTATATTGCGTTGGTTTTCGATTGTCAGTTCATTTTGGGTAAAAGTACACGTGATTATTTCAGAAATTTTATAAGCATTGCTATTGAGAAGACAGGTTATTGTAAACAAATGTCCACTGATATTATTTGTGGCATTTGCTGAATAATTAATCTGCTGAATATATTTAAAGTTTGATTATTTAGTTCGAACTGTATAGTCTATATATACATTAACACTGGCCTGAAAACAGACTGCTTTGTTCAACCTAAATTTACATTAGGAGAAAATGCACTTATGTGAATGATTGTGAAGCTTTAACATTCATCTATCATCCTGAACTTTTTAGCTAATTTTTCACGATTTGGTTCAGTTTTCACTTCTTTACTATTTCGCACGGAAACGATAAAACAATTTAACACGTCCCTTTTCTATCTCAACTCACAGACTATTAAGATAAATTTTAGACGTAAACTATCCAGATTGCATCCGATAAACTCACTGGCTTTCTATTTGTCATGCGAAGTTGAATATATTACAGATTGTAGGCAAGCAATGAATATTCCAGGATTAAAATTAACCTTAATTCGTCCTGTTTTAAATTTTTGATTTCACTCTAAATTCAAATATTGACTTTCCAGTTTCACATCTTCATTTAAAATGGATTAATTAATTGTTTATATCTTTCAATAATTCAGTTCTTTTGTCAATGATAATACTTAATTTTCATTTTAATTATTCACTATTCCGTTATTGTTAAAGAAAATTTACATTTTTTGCTGGTTCTTACCGTATTTTATCAAAATAAATATAATCTCGCTTACTGACAACTCTTGTAAAAGAAAGCTAAACAAGTTACATAAGTATTTCATTGAAACTAATACATTATTATTTACTGTGAGACGATTAGTTCTTACTCTGAACTAATATATGTAGGATTTAATTTGTCCTACAGATGTAATTCTAGAACAGTAAACGCAATATTGGCAAGCACAGAGTCTATAGGAAAGCTATAGTTAGAAGAAGATCAACTTTGCTTTAAACTTGATCTGTTTCGACCAATATAGCGTGTCTTACTGAAATGAGTACAGTTATGAGTCACATCAATATAATAAGATAATAATGTCAATCAATTTGTAGGTCATTTACAACAAAGAAGGTTCACAGACACGTCAGACACATCACGTGGTGGGCGCCTAACCACACTCTGATTGGTTAGTCATGCATAACTACTATTAGTTATAAAATAACTAACAATATATATATATAATTTTTACATGCAAAAATTCAATTTCTATGTAAACACGAGGCTTTACAAATACAGATAGTTAATGATGTTTCTTTTTTATATATAAAATACAAATTCAAGTTATGATGTATCTTGATATTCATTCTAGGATTTCAATTGTAATTTATCACTTATTGCATATGGTGGCATAATTCGGTGGGATCTCATCTGTAAGATAATTCAACTCTTTCAAAACAATGCTATTTTCATTCATAAATGTAATAAAATCCATTGATAGAATTGAGTTTGCTTTAGACCATGCATCTATGGAATGATTATGAATTGACTTGACTGTTTGATTGAAAACAGTTTTGTATCTGGTAAGGCAGTGTTAAGCAATCAACATGAAATCGAGTACATAAGTGAGCAATGATAATTTAAATCTATTCAAAGTAAACAATATTTGAAAATTTTCCTTATGAATATTTCTGTTATACAAATAGGAACTGCTATAAATTTATAAGTTAATTATTGTAAAATTATTTATTTCGGTCTGGTTGAAAGATTTTTCAATTAGAAGTTGTTTGGATAGTATAATTGTGTATTAAATTTGTATACATCATATAAGTCAGTCTGTGTAGTTGACAACATGTGTTTGTAACTAAAGTGATGATATAACTCTAGTTTATAATAATTATTCAATATGAAACCCCTCAACTTTATTTAGTAAAAATGAACACTATAAAATAACATTTAAAACGGTCTTTTTGCACTGTACACTGTATCTGATATAAATAAACCCTCATATCGATCCGTTTTTTTAATCTGTTACTTTACTCCTATATTTTCAATCAAACTGACAGTTAGAGACTTTTGGTTATCCAAAATGTCTGCAATTCATAAAATTAGATAGAGTATGCTTTTTCACTCAAAAAATTATTCCAGATAAAAAATTGTAATAATTTCGCTTCAACTGTACAAATAAATTTTCACCTGGTCATCATGTTATTGAAGTATTTATTTTTTGTTAGTTCATCCATTCAATTAGAAAAATGCTTGTAGGTTGTGACATACCAAATATATGATTTAATATGACTCAGACTACCGAAATCTATAATAATAAACTAGACTTCCAGGAGCACAAGGCATTTGTAATAATTGGGCAATCGTCATCAAGGTAGTCAACACTAAGGTGGGTTACAAATGACATTTTATTTCCGCTTCTTCATTGTGTTAGGATATTCCTCCAATATCCTAAGAGAATTATTGGTCAATTCATATTGATTAATTCCTACTGGTCATTCTTATGGTCGTCCTAGATATCAATGTCACGTACTCCAATGTTGTTTCTTATTGGTTGTCCTGACTATCAGTGTGACTTCAAATGTTGCTCCTTATTGGTCGTATTAACTGTCAGTGTCACAGACTTCAATGCTGTTTCCTATTCGACCAAAATGCATCAATACGCATTATCTGTAACGCTTTATGACCAAGACCAGGACCCGGTCTCGGATCCCTAGTCTGGGATCCTTATTCTCTTCAGGACTCGGATCTCGTACTTTCTGGACGCTTGTAGAATACAGGTTCTACTTCATATCAAGTCTTCTTATTTTACTCAATCTGGGGGTTGAGATAATCGGATTTGCGTAGCATGTCGTTATTCCGGATCCTCGATCCTCGTTCTCGTTTTCCGACTAGGCAAACTCGTAATAGTTCAAGCACATCAAAATAACGTGTTTACGTGCAGACATAACACATTGACTTCTTCAAATTTTATTTGGTTGCTTGCACTCAAGTAACTGTAACATTCCAATCCACCGTTTCTTAGACAACTTTTTACTCAGATTGGAATTCTTATCAAAATTCAGTCAACTTTCCAGCTGAATGTTGCGTAGTCTGCCAATTTCAATTCTACCAATTTCAGGCTATTTAATTTATTGATTAGGAGATTGACCGAATCCTATTTTAATTATTTCGTTAATCATTCATAATGATTCTCATGAATCCTTTCAAATTTCCAATATGTTATTGAATACACCACCATTTAATTGGTATTAATTATACTATGTAATGTAGAGACACGTTGAAAAACTAAGCGATGAGAAATAATGTCTTCTCACCATTGCCCGATTTCTACATGTCTATATGGGAATTTTCACTTTATTTCAAATGTTGCTATCTTATTTGATTCAGTGAAATTTTCTCATATACATTAATTATTTTAAATACTAATCATTTTAATATAAAGTAGTTAACAATGTATTTTTCATACTTAAATAGTTTTTCATCCCATGGCAATTCAAGAAAGTCTGGAAAATATAAAAAAATGAAATTAACAATAGTTTAAAAATACAGTCCTAACAAGTTATTTTGAAACCATGAATCGATCAATGTTAGACCAACATTAGAAACCTGGAAGCATTGATCGGCTGTTTCGTCCTGGTATGAGACTCATCAGCAGTGCGCATCCACGACTCCTGCACCTCACAGGATTCGAACCCGGGACCTTCGATATTGTGGGCGAACACCTAGCCATCGGACCACTGGGCCGGCATCCGACGGTGTCAATTTCTAACTCTGAATAATCTAGGGATTTTGCGCGACCTCATACACAGTCTTCGGTAGTTAATGTCTACACCCGAACAGGCTGAACTTCACTGGTCACATCTTCCCACTAGAACTCGGAGAAGACTCCTCACGAAGCTAATCACTAGTGAGCACAGGTAATTTGCATTATGGGGTTGTGAAGATCGTTAAGTTTTTTTGATGCTTAGGCGTTCACCTACAATACCGAAGGTCCTGTGTTCGAATCCTGTGGGGTGCAGGAGTCGTGGACGCGCACTGCTGAGGAGTCCCATACCAGGACGAAACAGCCGTCCAGTGCTTCCAGGTTTCTAATGTTGGTCTAACATTGATCGATTCATGGTTTCAAATAAACTTAACAATCTTCACAACCCCATCATGCAAAGTCCTAACAAGTTTCAGGCTTACGTAACATTAGTCCAATACAGGGGTTACACATCAAGTATCTTTATAACAACATTATGAAATTTGTTTGAATGTAGAGAACTGTAATGCCAAAAAATCTAAAATACTTGGAATATGAAAACCTTGATGTGTGAACTATTCAGACTTTGTTAACACGGCCAAACGTAGTATCATGTTTGTGTTTGTGTTTCGTTCTCTGAGCTGGATGTATCATGTTAAGAGCCTACATTTTAAATGTTTATCTATGGATAGAATTACGGGAACTATTAAAAAGTCAGTAAGTGCGTCAGGAGTCATTTCAACGTTATGCAAACACAATCAAGTAGTTAGAATCATAAAAAACTTGGAATAACGAGTAAAATTAAAATCTAGTTCAGTTTATAGTAAAGAACAGCAACAGGAATACGATTAGTAGTGTAAAACGTCGAATCGAGTATGTTGAAATGAAGTATTCCTTTTCTATGACGAAGTAACCAAACATCAAATCCGAACTACAGAAATTGAAAACTACAATGCAAACTACTAACTATTGTTAAGCATATCAGTAAAACCTAATCAGTAGTACGGAAAGTGAGGAAGCATGTAATAAGAAATGAGATGTTTTAAGATTTATTTATTTTCGGATGGAACTGTACAATATAAAAATATTTCACAGTTAGAGGTGCGGTCTCACCTTCAAATATTTTTATCTTTCAACATACCTAAAACTGTTAAGAGTGTTGAGTTTCATTTTAGTCAAGTACTTAACACTGATTTGCGGATCCTCATTCTTATGCTTACTACTAAACTTGTTTGTTTGTTTGTCTGTTTGCTGACGATCTATGGAAAGAGTCATCGGCTAATTATACTTTCCAGTTTATTTGCTTTCTTTCTACTGTTAAGTTTATCCTAACAAAATTATTAAATTCATGATTTCATGCAAAAAACTGGATGAATTTTGTTTTCTAAGCAGTGTTTTTTAATACTACAAATAAATCGATAAATTCTTAGATAGAGGAGAAGCTTTACAGTGATTCGACTCCGATCTTATACCCTGAAATATGATACAAAAATCATATACTGCACTATCGAAGCAATCAAAACCTATTTATTTGAATGTATTTGCTCTTTTCTGTCGAAGTGACAATAATTCGCGCTCAATATTTCTGAAGTTCTAATTTTTGAGGATAACACACAAGTGACGCGTACTGAATAAGGACCTTTGAATTCAGTAATCAAATACAGAAATATATATATATACAAAGTAGAATTACTTGCTTACCAAGAACTTTCCGGACTTCTCTGAGTGGATCTAACACTAAACATTCATAATGCACGGTTAAACATTTTTCATGGCCAATATTTCCACAATCTTCTAACATTTGTATTGTTAATTCATCCCACGTTAAAAATGTTTCAGTGATATTTGTCAATGTATAGCTAGTATTGATCTTTTTACTGAAGGAATAAACAATGAAGAAAGAAAAGCTTAGTTTACTTTACATAGTAACTTTCTTGTACTTGTTCATTTGACTGATAATCATGGCCATGTAACTGAACAAAATATATATACTACTTTAATCTGTAATCATAATAAACAACACTTATGGAGTTGTTAATGATCGAATGCTGTAAACTAACAACTTATAAAAGTAGTATAAGATGCCTTCAGTTAACTATTATGTAGTAAGTAAGTGATATAACAATTTTCTCTGATCAATATATATTTATGTAATTTGTAATTTGTTATATTCTTGAACACAACACATATCTATATGATATTTCTAACAAAGCACACTGGAACACAATTCACAAGAGAATGTTAACATCAGGACTGAATGTCATTCCGTAAATAAAGGAACGCCAAACAAATGTATCCATTACACTTTAGAAATGTTCTCAGTTGTTTGAATTTCTGTTCAGTAAGTTAAACTAAATGATCAATAAAAACAGTTTTGTTATGTTATTGAACAACCTAACAAGATATTCGTATAGTTCTACTGGAAAAATAAAACATACAAATATCTATCAATGGGTACATCTGACTACTTTAAACCTCATAAGGTTGAGAAAGACAAATCAATCGATATCAAAACTTAGTAGGAAATTGGATCACAGAAAAACTCAAAAATTGAGAAAAACTTGACTAAATTTGATTTATTGAACTATTTCACATGAGTCACATAAACGATCTATCAAGAGCAACCTAAACTCAAACTGTCATTTTTTGTGTTATCTCTAACTGTAGATGCTTGGATACATGTTATAGTCAGAGAATATTCATTACGAGAACAGAACGATACGTAAACCCGTACCTTTTTGATCGAATCTCCTGGTAATCACAATCCAGATAAGTCTACTTTCCTAAATAAATGGACACTTTTTCTTGAAGCAAAATGACTTCAAAGTAACCTGAAACTTTAGAAACAACCATTTATTAATTTACACATTTTTGAAACCATGAATCATTGAGTGCTAGACCACCATTAGAAAACTAGGAGCATTGGACATCCGTTTCATCCTGGCATGGGACTCAACAGCAGTGCGCATCCACGACTCCTGCGCCCCGCAGGATTCGAACCCGGGACCTTCGATATTGTGTGCGAACGCCTAACCTCTGGACGACTGAGACGGTATCTAACGGTTTTAATGTCTAACCTGATCAATTTATCGAAACTGTAAGAATTGGACCAAGAATTTTTCTGGCGTCCTACTTTTTTTACATAACCTGTTTTACTGTTTAGAATTGTGATTGGAAAATAAAATCATCGAAAATAGATCGATCAGCCTACCTACTTTCTTCTGTTTTGTGTTGATTTTGTCGGAACAAAAAGATGCGACTTCTGAATTGATTAAAATAATATTTTATTAAAATGACAATAAGTTCTACTTCGTCTCAGTTATTTAGTATATATATATATATATATATATATATATATATATATATATATAAATTTATTTGACAACTCACGATATTTCAGAAGCAATAATAGCTCTTCCATCTCGCACCATATGAATAAATTTTGCCTTAGGAAACAAAATATCTAAGTCCTTAAGATATTCAAATGATTCTGAATCTTTATGGCACAGCCTCGGTGCATTTGGACCCATTTTTATAATTATTGTTGCAATAAATGCAGCTGTAGCATCATTCAATACAGTAGCAGTGATACCAGATTCTATTAATCGTTCCATTAAGTGTAGTTTATTCCATCTGTATCTCAAAAGATTCTTTGTTACAATTGGGTCAGGTCCACAACGAATCATTGTATGAGAATCTAGAATGATTCCCATTAATTCAATACCTAAAGATAGTTTGGTAGAAACATGATCAAAGTTACATTTGATTTAAATAAGGCTTAGATTTGTTGGATTTTCGTATTTAAATGGTTTTCTTAATCAACAAACTTTTAACTATCGATTCTTTGATAGGATGAAAGATTCGCCTGAAACGAGTAACTGTATTTTTACACTGATGACTAACAGTTTTTTGTTGCTCAAGTCAATTTTTTTTAAATTAACAAAATCTTAACCTTCCTACAGTTTCATTCCTGTCTTTTCATCTTTAAATGATATCTTATCTTTGTCGTTACTGTCAACATCATGGTTACATATTTTTGTGAATACTATTCAGAGTATAGCAGACAAAATCAAAAACATGAATACTGTATATATGGTATTAGTTATTTGGGGTAGATTCATGAATTCAACTAAAAAAATCGAGATAAATTGGTACTTTTTTGGGGGGCACAGTTTTGGAGGTTTGCGTTTTTACACATTTGAAATCATCAATCAGTCATTGTTAGACCACCATTAGAAACCTGGAAGCGTTCGCCTACAATGCCGAAGTGAATAACTAATCACGTAATCAAATGAAAATATCAATAATGAAATGAGATAAGGTTGATATTAACAATCGAAATCTTAGTGGGAATATAAAGATATACTGTTTTTTCAAGTTTTGTTTTTTTTTAATAAGAAGATAACGTAATTCACAAACTAAATTTAACGGGTTGTCTTGCTGATTTACTGATGTACTTGTTTATAAAAAAATATTTCTGAGATATCTATTATTTCTGCACACGTAAGGGAGGTTTTAATTAACGAATAGCCAAGGCTTACATAAACCTCAAAATTCGTCCTTCAACATTTCTATACAAGACGTGACCCAACGGAGTTCAACCCTGTCGGTTGTAGGCAGTAACTACCGAAGACAAATGGGTGAGGTCGCGCAAAATCCCTAGATCAATCAGAGTTTGACATTAACACCATCGGATGCCAGCCCAGTGGTCCGGTGGTTAGGCGTTCGCGCACAATATCGAAGGTTCCGGGTTGGAATCCTGCGAGGAGCAGGAGTCATGGATGCGCACTGCTGATGAGTCTCATACCAGGACTAAACAGCCTTCCAGTGCTTCCAGGTTTCTAATGGTGTTCTAACAATGATTGATTGACGATTTCAAATGTGTAGAAACACAAACCTCCAAAGCTCTAACTGAAAATTTCTATACAATGTTTTGAAGGCTGTCTTCATGTCAATCTTATGCCCTGCCTCAATTATGTGTTGTGCGATCGATGAACATGGTTTTCTGTTCCTCTTAGCATTATTCTTCCTACACATATTCAAGTTCCTTATTGTGACGTTACACACTAAGGGATACATTTGTTTTTATTACCTTTTCATTGAATTTCACTAGATCCTAATTGTTCCGATAATTAATTCTCATTCTTTATTATCAACATTAGTAAACGATGATTTACTATGTGTTAAATTTTGTTCACGCTAGAGTCGTTTCAAATATCGATCGTGTGAACCTGAAAAGTAAGTTGAGTATAAGTGTTGGGAAACGATTTCAATTTAGGCAGTGGATTATTCCATTGATAAATAAAAACATAAATACAAGTAGTTATAGCCTTTTTTTCTAAATACCATAAATAAATGAATAAAAATTGTCTACCTGTATTTTTATGACCTCCAATAAATATAAATGGTACATCAGAAATACTAGATGTATTTGTTTTCTCCATGTTTGTTTTGTATAAATTCTGATATTGATATTCAATAAAATTCAATTGGTTCAATATACAATAACCCAATAGTAGAATAATTATATATCCAATAAATGAACATACTAAACTGTATTGAACTTGACAAGAATTGTACATGTGAACTCTATCTCAAAAATAAATCAATGAAAATTGTTTTCATTAAATTAGAAAAATACATTAAAACTATGAATTTATGGTTATAGTATCAATCAAAATAACAGTAATATCATATTTATTATTGAAAATGTCAAATGTCGTTTAAATAAAAATATCAAGCATCATAAATAATTAAATCCAATCTTCAAAATTGATCGGAGGTTAATTCATTTGAAAAATAATAATATGAGATATTAATTTCCATAGAATAAAAGTCAACATTATTTTTTGGTTCTCATTTCAATAACGGTCAAGGTTATTCATAGTTCTATGGAGATCGTTGTTTTCCAATTAAATCATCAATCAATCATTGAGGTCACTAAAGACTAGCTTCGTAAGGAAATTCTCGAAGTTCTAGTAGGAAGTCATGACTAGTGGAGTTCATCACTGTCCGGTGTAGGCAGTGACTACCGAAGACAGTGAGTAAGGTCAGTCGGTCAACGTTAGACATTAAAACCGTTGGATGATGGCTTAGTGATCTAGAAATCAAGGGTTCACAAGCAAGACCGAGGGTTCTGCTTTCCGTTCCCCTGATCGGGTGTAGTGAATGCACATTGATGACGAGTCTCAGCCGTTAAGAGCTTCAAGATAACTAATGTTGGTACAACAACGATTGATTCATGATTTCAGTGGAAGATCTTTCAGTGTCTTTAATACGGCTATCCGCTAAAGTTCATCAATAAGTGTAGAAACCAGTTTAGACAAAAGCCTGTTCTCCATTCTGCTGAAAAGAAAAATGTTAACAGCACGTTACCATTTAGAGATTAATCATATGGTTTAATCTTAAGAAAGCGATTAAAAGCAGCCATAGAGAAAACACACTACGCTGGTAAACTGATTATCATTGAAAAGACTGAGCTCATGATTCCCCATAGGCCTAAACGTTGCTCTAATAATTACATCACATCCCACTACATTTGTCAGCTTACATTATTGTGTGGATACGCATATAAAGGGAGGAGTAATCGGACTTTGCAATCAAAGGTTATGGAACATGTTCCTAAGTGGCTTCAAAGTCAGTTAACGTCAGGTGAGCCGATTAGCGTTGGAAATAGAAAACCATGTTCATCGATCACAAACACATAAGTGAGACAGGGAATAAGACTGACATCAAGACAGCCTTCAAAACATTGTATAAAAACGTAGAAGGACGAATTTTGAAGTTTATGAAGGCCTTGGCTATTCATAAATTAAAACCTCCCTTATGTGTACAGAAACAGTTTGTTATAGCCTTGAATTTACCCTTTGTATGGCCTAGGATAATGTGAAAATTTCCTACCCATTCATATTCTTTTCATATTACGTTAATTTTCTCTCTCCTTCATTTAGAATTATCACCTTAGGTCTATTTGAACTTTTATTGAATTGACTTTGTTTCGAAATTATCAATCAATCATTGTTAGACCACCATTAGAAACCTGGAAGCACTACACGGCCGTTTTGTCCTGCTATGGGTCTCATAAGCAGTGCGCACCCACGAATTATGCACCTCACTGAATTCGAACCCAGGATCTTCGGTATTGTGCGCGAACGCCTAACCATCGGACCACTGGGTCAGCATCCAACAGTATTAATGTCTAACTCTGATTGATCTACGGACTTTGCGCTAGCTCACCCATTTGTCTTTGGTAGTTACTGCCAACACCCGACTGGGTTGAACTCCATTGGTCACGTCATCTCACTAGAACTACGAGAATTTCCTCACGAACCTAGTCACTAGTGATCACATGTTACGATATTTTCAGTTAGAGTTTTGGAGACTTCTAATGGTGGTCTAACAACGATTGATTGATGATTTCAAATGCGTAAAAAACACAAATCTCCAAAACTCTAACTGAAAATATGACCTTTTATTTTTATAACCTCATTATAACCTCAATGATATGAATTTGAATAATCTCATAGATTTATATGTGACCAACTAATCAATGTTTACGATGAAATATGTCTTTGATGAATAGACAGAATGATCTTTAATCAAGGTCATTTTATAAAGTCTAATTCTAATTTGATAATGATAGTTTTTGACTAATATATTATTTTCAATTAGAGTTATGGAGATTATTGTTTTTACACATTTGAAATCATCAATCAAAGCATCAGTATATTATTATGCTAAAGAAGTATAAGTAATGTTTTCTTCATAAAATAGTTTCAAGCCATTATTGCGAATATTGAATGAAAGTATCATCCTTCGTTGTAAAATCTGATTATCAGACACCTTAGGTGCTTATGAGCACTAAATACACTTAAAAATACCGTGAATTCAACTGTATTATCATGTTTCCAAATAACACAAGAGACTCATTGTATTATTGGGAAGAAGATTAAAGACAATGTACAGCGAAGATTTACTTAAGTTTTATTTCCATGTAATATCTTCGAATTAATCATTGACTACGAATTTTTTTAAAAAATATTCATTCAATATTATTGAATATTTCTACAGATCATATTTCTAATTATTTTTATTGACTAAATTAGTAGTCTATATTACAACAAAACAAAAAATATGAATCTACATTTTACGATAAAATGTTAACGATAATCAATTATGGACAAGAAGTTATGCCTAATAGTTTGTTAGTGGAAAATATCGAACTAAAGATAATTATTTACTTAGAAACTGTTGATGATAAAGTAATTACAAGTTGTTCGCAAAGATTAGTCTTGGACTGTCGGATTGTGACATCTTTTTCTGCTATTGTCATAAACACACATGATAAGTTCCATATCAGGACAAAACGGCCGTCCAGTGCTTCCAAGTTTCTAAAGGTCGTATAACATTGATCGATTCATGGTTTCAAATGTGTAAAAACACATTTACAGTGGGAAACCACATACTGGAGATAATATAAAACTTATAATAATAAATTAAAAATAATTCTTTTTTGCTGAGTGTTCTACCTAAAAGTGGTTCATATGAATCTGTTGAATAGCTTATGATTATTAAAACCGAAATTTACACTAGGATTTGCTGCAGAAAATCTATCTCTAATCATACTACTAAAATATTTACTGTGACTAAACTTGGAAGGATATATATATATAACTCATATTTTAAAAGGTTACATGACTTACTTTTCAAATAGATTTATTTGTTCACTGAAACAAAACAGACAATCTTCAGTATTAATCCAACAGAATTTTTTCGTTTAAAACTATTTTCAATAGAGTATTTTATTTTTCACCAATCATATCAAAGTTAATCCAAAATCATGAGCATATCAAATCATAACTTTATTTAACCTAATCATAACTCCTAAACATAGACTTTTATTTATGTCTAGTCAATTGTTGAATAGTTTATTTTCATTTCGATTTCCTGTCGAATATTCAAATAAATAAAAATTACAGAATAAGCTTTATCTTACTATATTTCATATTTGTTAAATTGAAATCGTAATGAAAGTTGAAAAGTATGAGTAATACTCAACAACATTGTTATTTAATTTAACAATGCAGCTTTTAGTTTATGTCTATTCAAAAGACACAGAAATAGGATTATTTAAAATGAAAGGTGTGGTCACATACTGTAGCCGAATCATTGTTAAACTAGCATATCAATCAGTCAACTCGTCATAAATAAAAATAAATTTTCTCATGATTGATTTACAGTGAACATCTTCAAAATGAGCGGAAAATCAATTTCCCGCCATTTTTTTCTACTTTCTCTATGATTCAAATGATTGTAAATTTTTTAGAAAATATCTTTCATTTGATTGGTAAGAAATAATACTCAATGGAATTTTGTAAAATAATTTTGTTACATTTTAATTCCCATAAATTGATTGTCAATTAATTTAGTGAACGATGAAATGTATATGCAAAGTAAGTAATGCAATGTATTATTATTCTCTATTCTGTTTTTTAATTAAAATATTCATCTTGATTAAAATTAATTTAGTCAATAAAAACTTATTGGTTTATTACAACAAATTATAATTTATAAATTGATACAATTTCTGTTTTGTTTAGTATAAATTTTAGACTTGAATTACATTGAGAACAAATTTAATCATTGATCATTTGAATATTTATAAAATAGAATCGTTTCAACACTAGCTATAAAGACATGAGGAGGAATACTTTCTTATTACATGTTTCAGTAGTAAGCTGGAATAACTCAAAAGAAAATAGTATAGCGTTTTTAATCTAGGCTACAATAGATATGATATCTAGTTTTATTTCTTAGTTTTCAAATCATTAAAAAGCATTTAATATTGAATGTTATCATTAAAATTCAATGAATAACTAATTTAAGTTCAATATTTCAATAGAATTCTAAAATCTTCAAAAATTTCCTACAGAATGATGTGTTCAATCTTACTTTGAATATTTATATATATATTTATACTGTTTTGTTATATTGTGTTATTACTGATGATTTCTTATTAACTTTTGATAATAATTTAAACAAATCTGAGGATAATTCACTGTTGTCGAAAAATCTACAAAAATAATCTATATTATTCATTTTGTTGAAGAGAAGCTTTAAAAATGACTAGATACAACTAAGTCTCATTTCTTAATTGAAACAGTTGTAAATATTTCTTTAGCTTATTTTCTAATCTATGATGTTTAAAAAATGGACAACCAAAGATTATTAACCAATATTCATACCTTAAAGTGTCATATGTTTATGACTTAAAGTTTGATGTAACAGCGGGGTTCTTTTAAATATTTATAAATGGCAAACCACGAGGAAATTGTTAGTATGTTTAAGTACGCAACTCTGCAACAAAGTTTCTATTCAATACTGTTAATGTTAAACTGGGCTTATTTTAATTATCAATTGTTAATCATTGGAGAATATTAATTGGCTCAAGTAGGGTTGGGATAAACTACATATTGTTATGTCATTCATAAAATTACGATATTCTGTCATACTTGAACGTAAAGCATTGCTGTGATACAGATAAGAAAGCAGACAAAGAATAAAAACTGGTGACCATCATGGGTCAGGATAACGATAATAATAATTCTCATCTCATTCTGAATGGTTGTCAGGTACTAAGTCATAATGACGAACAACAGTGGAGTTTATTACCAGTCCTCAAACAATGTTGAATTGTAGTTTCCTAAGATAAATAACTAAAGATATAGCAGAATATGAGAATGTAGGTATGTCAATTCTACGGTGATATGTAATGTTCTTAGTTTTTTGTAGTCAAGTTATTAGTTTTGAAATAATTTTTTTATTAAGGCCAGACAAAATTAATTAAGGGTACTTTATTATACTACTGAAATACTCTGGTATAATTTATATTGATTATCATTCAGATGTCGTGTCAAAAATCATATTTTGGAGCAAATAGTTTCCATATTACAGGGATTACGTTAATTCTCAAGATAAGTTGTTTTAATTAGGAGAAATTAAGTTGAGAAACAGAAATTATGATACGTTTGTCAAGAGAATTAATTGAAATTATGAATCGATCAATGTCAGACCACCATTGGAAACATGAAAGTACTGGACGGCCACTTCGTTCAAGTATAGGACTTGTCAGCAACGCGCATCCACGACCTCCGCTCACAGGAATCGAACTCAACACCTTTGGTCTCGTACGCTAATAATTAACCTTTAGATCATTGAACCGGCCAGCATCCAACGGTTTTAATGTCTAACTTTACTCAATCCACGACATTGCGCAGTCACATCCTTTGTCTTCGGTAAGTAAGCGATTACACTCAACACGGCTGAACTCCACTGGTCACGTCTTCTCACTAGAATTCCAAGAATTTCCTGGCGACGCTAGTGTGTTCACGAGTGACTCGCTTAGTGAAGAGATCCTCTCTTAAAAAGTATTTCAAGATTAAAATCAATCAACAGAATAATATATTATTGTTATCATGCGAAACTTTTCTATTTTTTTTTAGAATATACTTTAAGAATATGTTATGGACAATTCAAGATATCATTTTATATTACTGTATGGTTAAGCATTCTGCTATTAGCATTAACTATATTTAATCGAATATACTCGATTAAATATCAAATTCAATTAATCAATACTGTGAAAAGAAATAGCATTAAGTCATATGATCCACGTGATTCACCTTTCATATTTATTGGAGGACATCAAAGTACAGGTAAAGCTAAATTTTTCCGATTATATTATTACTACATTAGACTTAGTATATAATATGGAATTCTCAATTTTAACACATGAAAAAATGATTTCTTCACAGTATTGTCCACTGAATTAGATACCTCTAATTAATTTACAACTGAATTCCTAGTCGTAGAAATACTTCTTTTTTAGTTAAGCCTGTTACCCCTAATGGAATATTGGCCACCGACAAGTAATCCCCAACCTACTCTGTTCTGGGTTTTTCTTTCCAGTTCTATCCAAATGCTATTCATTTTTTTCATGTCTGCTCCATATTTAGTTTATTCAAAAGTGTCTGATTCGTAAACGATAAGATGACTAAACTATTCATAGATTATTAATTATATTTCGATAAATTAGCAGGACAGCTGTTTCACAGGATGGGTGAGTGCCGAGGATCCACCCAGGAGAGATTGAAAACCTTTATTCCCGACGAATGTTCCACATAGACTTTGAAATTATGCCGGAAATAATGACGTATGAACCCTTTGTTGATCACCGGCAGACGTGTGATCGTATCTCGTAGCATTTCTCCACTACATTGTGGATTAGATCTCTTTGTCAAAGACTCGAGTAGTACTTCCTAAAAAATGATCTACTTCGGTCTGGGCAGCTGAGCATTAGCCTAATTCATTTAAAAACTTGAAAATTTATGCGGCTTATAAAAATTCAGATGTCCATTTGTACCACTGTTTGTGTCCGAATTAATAAGAATATCTTTACTAATATTTCTTCATAGCATTGCTTACAACATCAAACAAAGTTAAACCACAATAAACGTAAATCTTATGATTAACGATTAACTTCTCAAACTCATTGGTATTAGATCATTTTGTATTTGAGTTTCCAGTCGCTCTCATATAACTTCTCACCTTGTAAATTATGTTTATAGCGAATTATTCCATGAACCAGTAAGTATAGGGTGTAGTCAATAAACTGGTAGTGTTAATCGCATATTTAATTTCATTAGTTGCTCGTCTGACAGCATTACACAAAAGATGGTTGATTTTTTCCTAAACACTGAAAATTATTTTAATTAGAGCCATACTTAAAAGGTGATTGGGAAAAAAAGTATTCATAATTGTTGATGTACTCTGTGTGACCTGTGGTTTATATCACAGTTCATAAGAAAACAAACTATTTATCAGTTCTCATTATATTCGTATTCTGTTTGATTTCAGGTACTGGATTAATGCGCATTCTTCTGGATATTCATCCATTAGTTCGTTGTGGACCAGAACCAATTGTCACGAGAGAGATGTTAAGGTATAGAAGACATTTGGAAGGCATAAGCAATCAATTGTTACAGTCTGGCATTACTGATTATGTGTTGGATGATTCAACTGCAGCATTCATTGCAACAGTTATTCAGAAAATGGGACCTCAAGCAGAAAGACTATGTCATAAGGATCCCTCGTCATTTTTATATCTTGAGGAATTGGCTGATATTTTTCCAAAAGCAAAATTTATTCATATGATTAGAGATGGAAGAGCCGCTATTGCATCTACAATTCAGTAAGTACACTTTTATTGATTAAAACAAATTCCTCATCGCTTCACTGATCAACATACTGTGTTATTTTTGATACTTATTTTTCTAAAACTTTACTGTTCCAGCTAAACTGGATTAAATTTTTCACTTTGTTGTTAAATATATCATATCAGTAGCATTCTAACTAATAATTGATTTCTGTCATATTGGATCAGTGAGTATTATTGTCGACTCCAATATTATGCTTTGTCAATGACGCATCAAATTACTGACCTAAGCTGTCAGATTTAGAAGATACATTATTGAAAAAACATGAAAAGATAGAACATTGGTTTCATAAAGCAAACTTTCAAAAAACAGAAATCCCGAGACATTTTTTTTGTTGAAATCCTAAGCAAACAATGACGATAATGTATATTACGATTTTCAAACAATTCTCAACATATCTCAGCATATTGAGGATTATGAGAAAACATTCGACATCCTATGTAATAATAATCAATAAGTCAAAAAGACTTCTTTATTGAATGGTGATTAAGCGGTCAGTCTTGGAAATTACCATTCATCAAATATATACCGTTTGAAACCATTATCTTCCAATTACTTAATGTGAGTTATTGTAACAACATTATGCTGCATTTAAACAGGAACTGAATCAGGACAGTACATTAAATTCCTGATGAGATATTTTCTATGTGCTTTATTGATTATGTTGTTGCATGACTGATCATTTACTATTCAGATTATTGTTTTTATTTATTATGATGAAATATTAATCATAAACGGACTTTTTCACGTATGGTGACATTATTTGTGACAGATATATATATATATATATATATATATATATATATATATATGTATATATATATATATATATATATATATATATATATATATATATATATATATATATAACATATCAAAACATTCGTATGGTATTCCAGAAGTGACTAATTGGAATCATATGGTTAGGTTACAAATATTCTCAGAATATAAATTCTGACATGTACAGACAAAACTACAGTATGGATCGTACCAACCAGTGAATCTTTCTGTAAGGGACTTAAAATATAAGTGGAAAAAGAATAAAATCATAGATTTTTTGAAAAGTTGTAGTATCAAGAAATAATTGAAAAATAAAGACAAGAAATCTATCATAAAAGTGTTCATTATCTCATTATACAAAACTTTTCACAGTACGTATCAACCAAGTTGACTTTGACGAAGATTTACAATTATTTTAATAACCTAATTTGATGTTATGGTACATTTAGAGAAATTATATTTATTAAAAATTTGAAATAAATCCATTTTGAATTTTTATTTTATAACTCAACTGAAGTCGTGGTATACATCCATATTATACACTCGAGAATGTCACAGCAGCAAGTTTTGCTTGGGAGAGAACAACATCAAAAATGTCAGAGGATTGTCAATATATTGGCATATCTCGTTGCCTACCTGTTCGCTATGAATGTCTGATATTGAATCCACGTGATGAGATTAAAAAAGTTCTTGGTAGGTTAATATGTCAAAATTGTTGGAATATTTATTAGTTTATCGTATAATGAAATCAGTTTTTATTACTAAAATAGAAGTGAGGTAAAATATTTCTGAAAAAGTGGAGGACTGAAGTCCATCTTCTGTCCATAAAAGGTGTACTTAGTTTTGACACTGAGTTTTATCTACGAGGCAAATCTAAATTCAGTAAACAATTAATTTACTGAGATGGTGGAGAAAACTTGTAGCTCAGGTGGATGATTGTGGTGGTGTTTCGTTCTCTGAGCTGGTTGTTTTGGTTGTGGAGCTTTCATTGTTCTTCTGAACAACATCATCAGCACAAACTTCAGATAGAAGTGAAGCATTCGAATTTCTCCATGTTTGACCTGTAGCTTGTTCTGCTAACCTCAATCCTAGGAAGCCAACCCACACCGACGTAATTCTCAACTACGTCAGCAACACCCCACGAACCCACAAGATTAACTGCATACAAACTCTGTTCAAGAGAGCGAAGACACACTGCAGCACATACGAAACAGTGAAAAACGAGGAAAAACACCTGATGACTATCTTCCAAAAGAACGGCTATCCACGCAACTTCATCAGAAACACATCAACCGAAACCATCATCAGAAGCGAAATCAAGCACAGGAACAAATAAACGCATCATCCTGCCATACATCAAAGACATATCGGAGCATACAGCACGACTACTGAAACTATTTGGAATAGGTGTGGCACACAAACCAACAGAATCACTTCAATCAATACTATGTAGACCAAAGGACAAAAGAAGAAAAACCAAATATCATCTACAAAATATATTGCTCAAACTGTGAAAAACACTACATAGGACAAAGTGGACGACCTCTTCAGCTCCGTTTACGTGAACATCAATTAGCAGTCAAACGCCACGACAACGCTTCGCTTATATCAATATTCACCGACAAGTATGGACACATATTTGATTGGAACAATGTGGAAATACTGGATAGGGGGGAGGACAAAGAACACTAGAGAATTTTTATAAGCTTGGCACTCAGGTCAATTAGCAGTCAACAAACACATCGACATCGACCCAATTTATCAACCAATCAGGAAAATCATAGGTGACACAGGATCAAGAAACAGATCAAAAGGGGGAGGCAATCAAAACAAAGTTGCAAACAACGACAGGTCAAAGGTCAACAGCAACCAATCAAGATTGAGTTTAGCAGAACAAGCTACAGGTCAAACGTGGAGAAATTCGAATGCTTCACTTCTATCTGAAGTTTGTGCTGATGATGTTGTTCAGATGAACAATGAAAGCTCCACAACCAAAACAACCAGCTCAGAGAACGAAACACTACCACAATTGATTTACTACCGTTTGTTACCGATCTTTTAGAGAAATAATAGTTCAGATATTTGATTTTTAGTATCATAAGAATTTGTCATGAACTTTGTATTATGCGAAATAAAATGATGATCGGAAACATTGTCATTTTTGTTACGGGGAGAGATTTAACGCCGAATCTGGCTTTTGGGAAGACCAATTATTTTAAACTATTTAGTTATTTTACATACTTATTATTGATAACTATAAACAAATATCTGCATATGCTTTTACGTGTGTGTTCGTGTTTTGTTTGCATGTGTCTATTTACCTACAAGCATTTCTTGTAACCATGATAAAAACTCAACCATATTTAACTTACTTAGGTTGCTCTGTCTTCCTAATCTCCTGATTGCTCGGTATTTACTGACTGCTCAAGCCTATATCTGCGATATAACTATTCAAAAATAATTTCGTATTTTTCAATTAGAATTATGGAGATTAGTGTTTGTTGCACATTGAAATCATCAGCCAATCATTGTTAGACCACAGTTATAAACTTGAAAACACTGGACAACTGTGTCGTCCTGGTATGGGACTCATCAGCAGTACGCATCCATGACTCCTGCACCTCATAGGATTCGAACCCAAGACCTTTGGTCTTGCGTGCGAACGCCCAAATATTCAGTTATCACAAGTTTGATCAAGCCAATGTAAATATGTGATGAAATCAAGGATGTATATACCTCATTTATCCTCATCATTCATTCATCATTCATCTGGAAATACCTAAGGATAATAAAGTCATCTTACTTCTGCGAATTTCTAGACACTTTTAGTCTTAACAGTTACCAAGGTCAACAGTGTTATCAGTAGGTTTGTAAGATTTCTGCTAGTATTTTTCTCTTGCACTTTGAACTCGATGTGGTTAGTTTGAAATGATATCCTGATGATTTTAATAATTTTATTCATGAATACATGCCCCTCTAACACATTGTGAAGATGTTTTTGTTATATAATAAATGAAGTTCTTGTTCTGTAAAAGCAAAAAGAAACATACCTACCTATTGGTTAATTTGATGATTGAGTGAAATTTGGAATTCAACTGAAAAAAAGTTTATTTTTGTTCAACAATATAAAAAAAAATTTAGTAATACATTTCGGTTCATCCGCACGTGAGACATCAAGTTCAGTAAATGCGAATTCGTAATCCATGATAAAATGACTTCAAAGTGTACATTAAACTATATTTTAGAAAGGAATCAAATTTTCCTACACGTGAAATAATATTGAACTTTCACTTACAAGAGTTCAAAATTAATTTATTTATTAAAATGACAAATGACATTTGACCCTAGTTGTTAGTTACAAATAATACTGGGAAAAAAAAGGAAACACATACTAATTATAGGAAGCAAATCAAAACATTTGGTGCAAGTTCAGTAAGTAACTCTATTCATTCAATAACGTGAGAGATTGTCAAACAAAGTACCAGTCGCATGTTCTCAGAGCATATGAAAATATTAAAAATGTCTAAACAATAGAAATGTAATGTAACGGCTAATTAGATTATCATTCAAATTTAATGACAAGAGTAGAAGGAAACTAGTACAATTCCTAACTTCAAAAAATCATTCTCAATCCTATATTCACAGATTGACCAATTCACAATCAAAAATCAATTAACTACTCAATATACGAATTAATTGGCATTTTTGAATACTCTTATCATACATAACTTTCGATAATCATTTTGTTTTTGAAACCTTGATTTTGAAGATGATTTTCTCCCTACAACATTAAATATCTGGGAATTCTTGTGTAAATCTGATAAGATGAATTTGTTTGATCAATTAAAACAATTTATTTCTCTGTCATTTCATTACTGTATCCAAAAGCGGTAATTGTTCTCAAGCCAGCCTAAATACTCTACTCAATTTCACATGTTGTGACTTAAAATCCAATGGAAATGAAGAATAATGAGTTTTGTTCAACTTTCAGTTATACTACAAAATTGTATGCTTTAATTTTGAACAACTGTTTGTCATTATCTATAACCTGTGAAATGTTTATTGAATTATACTAATTCAATTTTATAATTGTAGATTTTCTTGAACTACCATGGGATGATAAATTATTGGAACATGAAAAATTTGTTAATAACACGTCCATGTTAAACAAGTAAGCTAATGTACTATTTAGATAATTATATAGAATTTATACTGAATATTAATGCGTAACAAAGTTAGATACTTGAATAATGTTTAATTGACATAGTATGCATAAATTCAAGTATATATGTTAGATTAATTAGTATGAAGTGGATAACATTTTGTAGTTTACGATGCACCAGAATACAACATGTTTAATATTCACGAATCGATTGATAGTAAACTTCAATGGTGGTCTAACATTGACTTCAATATAGCTCAACAATCTCCACAACCCTATATTAATAGTAAACTATTGATCTGTATAAACTCATCTTCAAGCTGAAGTTTTACTTAGATTATTTAAATGTAACTTTTTAAAATCTGGAATACAAATAATTGTGTTAATCATAATCAATGAATTGCTTTCTTTCTAAAAGTAAAACAATAAACAATCAATAATCAGTGCAGAGAGAATACTTATTTTTATGTTTGAAAAATTATGAAATTTCGACGATTCACTTTGTACGTACAAATGAGTAAAAAAGAATCTAGTTTATGGAATTAAGTGATTATAAAAGCCTTGAAGTGAGACAGTTTAGTAATAAACTCTTTCTAGCTTGAAAAATGCCCTCATTTTGAAATCAGCATGAATATTTACACAAACTTTAATCTTTTAATCATGCTTGAATACTGTAATTAAGAGTTTGTGTATATAACGCAAGTTTTCAGATTAATTTCAGTGATAAGTATGAACAAGTGGAAACTGAAGCACATAGTACATTTCATTGTATCATATCATATCATCAAATCAATGTAAACAATCTTTGATTCATGCATTCTTACTTTATATTGAACATTTAAACTGCAAAAATGTTTTAAAAAAAAGAAACGAATTTAAAACGCACAATTATCGAAATACATATGTCAATTGTGAATACAAAAACAAACAGATACGAATGGATTTGATTCTTGTAAGATTTGAATCAACATCAAGTCTTACAAATCAATCTTTAAACTTATAAAATGAACATATTGATAGAAATCTATGCATATTTGGCGCTAAAGTCATTTTGTTGAAAACAACAAAATAGAAATAATTAAAACAAACCGAATGTTCTTGAGCACATAAATTATGTAGAAATATACGAAATAAAAATGCAACAATTGACATTTACTTTCTCATAATCCGAATATTCCTGTTTATTTTCTGCGCCAATCCTAAATAAATATGAACAATATTATATTTGATCAAAATGTTAATGACAGTGCAGGGAAATTTTTTCGTGTCAGAATGCTTATTGCCTGGTCGATTAAAACGGCTTAAGTGTTTGAAAAAAAAGTGTAGCACCCTGCTGGTAGGAATACGATGAATAAGAAATTGGTGTACTTCATATAATTATTTCATATTATTTTATTTTATTTTTTCTCATTTTCATCTTATATAGATATGAAGCTAGTTCAATACAAATAGTCAAATCTATGCATAACCAATCATTAGATGCATGGTCACGAAATGATTCAGCGATTCCCATGGAATTTTTCAAATTTATCAGTGATAATAGTACACTTTTAAAATCATTAGGTTATGCAACAGGTGAAATTCCACCAAACTATAAAAACATCTGCAATAATTGAGTACCTGCTGGAAATGTCATTTTAGTTATTTACTAATGAACACTGACATTAGGCTAGTTCGCTTTCATATTCATTTAAGAACATATAAGTTTTTATTGGCATTTCTACGTTATTTTATATGTTTTCACATTGACTAACTCTTATTACAAATATTTACAATTTATATTACATCTAATCGATCGATTTATATTATGTTGTATGTTTTATTTAATGAAACTATCAGTTTGTTTTTATATTGAACGATGATATTTGAAAAACATAGAACATCAGTCATATTTTAAAAATATCCAATAGCGGATTAATATTCAGAAATGATCAATTTTGTGCTGTACTACTTAAAAGATGAATAACTAACACCACATCGAAATATAAAAGTTTGCCAAACAATTTCATCTAAATAAGCAAGCAGTATATACAATATATCAGACAGTATTCGAGTCACATAAGCGACATATATAAATAGGGTATAAAATTGTAAACATTTTACTAAATACTGTGTACACAAAATCTATTTGTCTGTTGGAAATCCATTGTATTTCTGTCCAGTTTCACTGAAAACACATAAGATTCCTTATTTATGCTGTCATGGTCAAGAAAAGCGTTGTACTAACTGCACTCTAATTTTCTGTAAGATTACAATCGATGTTGATCGATAAATTCTTCACTTCATACCACTCATAAACACACAAACCTCGACAGTTAATTTTATCATAGTCAATCTAGAAGTAAAAAGCATTTGTTTAAAAATCGTCTGATCGATTCAACAATGCGATTTGATCAATGTAAAGACATCTCATTTCTGACAAAAAACACTTAATTTTCATAATTCTTAATTCAACTCTGGATGTGTTTCCAAATATTGCGTTTGTTCCAAAAGGTCTGTGACTAGGATCTAAATGTCTATTTCTGATTGCTTATCTGTGTTCAGTCAGATATCATTGTCGAAATACCAACACTTCTACCTATCACATACGCCACATCCATATTGCTAGCGATTCTAGTCGTGATATTCACAACCAAATGAAATTCATGCAGTATGAATGATCCCATAATACTGTTTTCAATGTCATTTTATATATTGAAAACTTCATTAATACTAGACCATTTCATTCTCATTTTAAAAATGGAACTTCATACAGATTGTTTTTGACAGAGATCTATTATCGATTTCATCGACTGAGAAATGTGTAAATAGTATTGCATAAACATAGGTAACTTATTATTGACATAGTTACAGGTTGATATTACTTACTGCACTGACAAATATAATTCACAATGCATAACAGTACTGTGCAGTCTACTTGTGAACATGTGACTCGGTTCGATGTTAAACTCATCAACTTATTACATAATTAGTGATTGCATGTGTTTACTTTAGTAATTGATAAACAATTCACTTTCAAGTTTGGACAGACAATAAAATAAGTGATATTAGTGAACGCTGAAGATTACATGTAAAACTGTGACTTCGATTGAAATGAGGGATGTAACTATGGTTTGAGATACTTAAGAAAAACCCGAAATTGATATCAGAGACTAATATGGATTTTGGATCTGACCAGAATAACAGCACATTCAATTTAATATGTCGTCTATGCACAAATATACGATAACTCAAACTGAAACATCAACTAAAAAAACAAATATAAGTGACAAGAGAGGAAATCACCAAAGACATCTCCACATAACCAACAAGTAGTATTATATATTCGAATATAACAATAATGTTTCAATAGTTCTCAGTATTGAATTCGCATTAAAACAAAAACGGCGTGAAACCACTTTGTGGAAATTATTTCACAGTGCACATGTGGACAATACAAATTGTTTTCATTGAATGATTTCAGTTCTTTCGATCAGAATTTTTTCGATTGAATAATACTCCATCTCAAGTGCAAATTTTATGTAATGGATTTTGGAAACGTTAAAGCAGAATATGAAGCGTTATCGTTGAAGATATGTACAATTGTAAAACTGTCAATTTATTGTTCCCCTTTGAGTCGATTGAATAAACCAGACAACTTGTTCTTTAAATCCAAAATGCCTAGGAATATTTTCACTCCAACACCGTGTGGTTTCTCAGTGGTGGTTGTTGCTTCACTACTATCTGAAATTGACCAAAACGCAACAACAAAATTAAGTAAATTGACATTAATCAGAATGTGTATGGGAGGTTCATAAAAACCTACTAAACAATGTTACAGCTAGCAAAGCGAATATACTTTCATGTTCATCACTAAACAACGATTCTTTTTATTCAGTAAGACATATGAACTCTGTTTGTATTAAACAGAATCAAGCTTGAAACATACAAAGTGTTTGGAAAATATTACTCGGTAACACCTAGGAGAACTGGTTGGTAAAGTTAAATTAGTGGATGTATCATTTGTAATTAAGGTTGACCTGCCCATCTATGAACGTCAAAACAACTAGTTCCATGAGTATATCGTCAAGAATATGATCGGGATAGTGGATTTAGACCTCAATTTTATAAATGAATCGCTTTTCACAATGTGAGTTCAAGTGTTGGCCAAACGGTATGAGATGCATCTAATCGATTACAACGTGGTTTTCATGAAAACAAAGCCGATAATGAATGGTCTCGAACAGTTTGATTTTAATTGTGTGATTTTCATACCAAAACATGTGTGTTGATCTAATGAAGTTATTTTAACCGAGTAAACAATACGTATTAGGGCAGTTGGAAGTGATAAGTACCATAATCCTAACGTTGAATACGTGGTCATATAACCTACCATTAGTATAAGGATTGTGCTGTACTATAACTGACAAAATTATATTCACATATAACAAACGGAAAGCATTTTCGCATTTCACTTTATAAGTACTAACTAAATATCTCTGTGATACTGTTCACATCGAAAGTGTCACCGTCTCTATTAAGATTTAAACATAGGAAATATAGAAGTGTCAATAATTCAACCATAATAAGTGAAGGCTGAACATCAAGAAGATAGACCAGCAGCAATGAAATCTACATAGACTATTGGTATTAATTTCAACAAATGGAATATTGGGAGCCAAGAACTTATCATTCCAGCATCGAACGATGCTAATCGTCAATCTATTCTCATTCTGTGTTCGACCTATGTGTCGGAAGACAATGATAGTTATGCAATCAGATCGACCTATTCCAAACATCCATACTAAACAACATTCAAATCAGACAGTCATGTGGCAAATTCACAAAAATCTGAAAATTACGCATTAACGGTTTGAAATAATGTACTAAAATGATTTACTTCAGAAAAACAAATTCATTTACCTGTTTGATTGATTGATGTTACTTCTGTTGTAATTTCTTTGGTTGTTCCTATGACAGTGGTAAAACGGGAAACGTATGTTACTAAAGTTGATAAATGAGTAAATTATACTCACATGACTGTAATACGACATCTTGTTTTGTTTGAAATAGATTATGATTCATATGTCATGTACTAATTACGTATTGTATTCAGTATCATGCATGAAATTATAGTTCTCTCATTGCACTGTGATTTTATTTGTAATTTTCAAAACAAAGCATTTGTTGATCATACTTATCTATGAGCAGAGCATAGGATGAGTTCCGATCATTAATTTGCATATTTGTTTCTATGTTAATAAATGGCGAGTTATTAAGTGGATTAATTTTGTCGTGAAGTATGTAATGTCACTGTATGATGATGTGCATGATACTTGCATTTTACGTCTGCTTACGATTTATCATTTAAGCATATAACACTGTTTACATTGTTAACAATACTTGTAACAGCCTTTTGCACATGTAGCTAGTTTTGAAATTTGCAGCAGCTAGACTTCCTGTTCATTTCACTGCCTACATAGAGTTACATAGGACCGCATCTCCTTCGTGTGAGAAGTGATTAAACTGAAGGAAGATATCGTTGGTACTGAAAATGTATTAAATGTATTGCCAATTGTATCGACGATCACATATGTCTATGCACACGGTCTCAGACATATTTGTTGTTCGAGACGTTCATCTAAATACTTCTAATAATTGTCACTTTATAGCTGACAAGTACCAAGGCGTGATAGATGATGAATAAATCATCTCGTATCAATGCACAATTCAATATGTTGAGTTGATGTTGAATTATCCAACACTAAAGAGTTCTACAAATTCACTGTGCGTAAAATGAATGTCTAGATAATAGCAGACGAAACACACAGTGTCAATTAAAAAGTCGAAAATGAAGAATTTAGCTATTTTGCAGTTATTTGATTCTTGAGTAACATTTAAAATGCAAATTAACGATGGCTATACTCACCGAATGTATTATCTGTACTGCTAGACCTATAGAAAGATAGAGAACAGTAAATACTGTCAGAGAAAATGTTGCAACAACACATCAGGGGTTAATCTTTATCTTTATAAAATACAGTGCTATTTGAAATGATATAAATGGAAAAAAATTTAACTTTTTAAATGTAAAAGTCGATTAGGAATAATCTGTAGTTCGGGATGGGGATTGGCTGAATGGCGCAGTTGTTACAGCATGTGTGGAAGAAGTCTTTTGAAGGATTTGAACAGTTGGAGTCCTTCTTCCAATTAACTCACATCTAGATTTGTTTATTTAGAGACTTCAATTTCTCCAGTGATCAAACAGAAACATTGAATACTAAACACCTGACTACCACTTGACTCCAGAGTAGTCTGAAACAAAATGTGTCTTTCGAAAACGCGATTCCCCGTTTGCTAACTCACAAACGAACGTGGTTTGAGGAAACCACAACGAACACACGTATTACAACCAGTGAATATCCACATGACATGCCTGAATTCCACGTCAAAGTAACAGTCACAGTTTAGCTAACCAGCAGTATTAGGTGATATACTGAGTCAATCAGAAGTGACATAATAAGATGGTCGTTCTATGACAGATCAAATGCTCATCTATATTAATGTGTTCACCTGCTTAGAAAAGAAAGCCATTAATTAACCAATGATGTGCATTAGTCCTTCATAACATTTTTCG